AAATTTCTTATAACATTTTCACTACTCTTTTACATTACTACTGCTTCCCATAGTTGATTGTGATTTAATGATCATTTAATAATTAATAAAACTTAAGGTGATTCCTTATCGAGTACTACTTGGCGGGTTCGTGCATTTCTTGACATAAATTCGCGTTCATTATGCCAGTCATCAAACTCAAAACCAATATCAACTTTTTATATGTATACAGCTCATTCACAATAACACGTCAAAAATAATCACGGTAAAAGCTTAATAACACACATATAGTTTTAGGATACTATTACTACGTTCAAAGTAAGTACTTTGGAATTCCTGGCACGAACCCGCCATCTCGCTCGCCATCTCAATACGCCCTGATCTCGTACACAAATCGTATTGAACGTGGTGGCAATCAATTCAAAACCCTCAATTCCTATAGTGAATGTATCAATAACTTTTTCTTATGTATAATGGTTAATAAGATATTTCGTTCCAAACACAGGTATAAAGAGTTTACTCGAGTAAAGAGTCTCGGCGCGCTGCGCCCTGTACAGCCGGTTGCCTGTACTTGGCGCGAGACTCGACCGAGTCTCTTGATTTGGTAGCGATAACTAAACTACAACTAAAATGGACTAACAAAGGAAACTAACTAAAAAATGCTGTTCTGAAAATTGTTCCATAATTGAAGAATGTTAGATTTATATAGTTTGACCATTTCACATGTTATGAGATTTCGTGATGTTCGATATATATGTATCAACAACATTGCTGGGATTTCTGTAACGATCAAGAAACGAAAGATACGCAAACAGCAGAAAATGCATCCTCCAATAACGCACGTTAATGACAGACACCAGGAACTAAGGCAAGGAACAAATCAACACTAGGAGCTAGAGGAAGGAACACCTGGATATTGGAAATTATAAGTTATAAGGGTTGAAAAATTAGCATGAGTCTCGAATTTGAAAAATGTATTGCCGGATTCAGGATGAATACTTGGAACTTATCGAGTACTACTTGGCGCCCATTAATTGATATATTAGGGCCGACCAAAAAGTTATTGCGGTTTTTCTAATAGATGGACTATATGTCTTAATTGCGCTCATTTTTAAAATTTCGACATATATTTACGACTTTTACTGTTCGTGATTAGCAGCTGAGTCGACATCTCTAATTTATGTTGAATACTTTAAACCATAGTTACTCAGTGGATAACAAAGTTATACAGCACAGATAAATGGCGGCGATCAACAATTGTTAAATGGATACTGTTGAATAAGCACGTGTCAGACGTTGCAGTGTTTGCACTTGAATTTTAAGTGATTATTACTGTCCTGTGTGGTAATTGGCAATCTGTAGTATTACTTTACTGCAGCCTGTCATGTCTAGTGCAGTTTGGCACAAATTGTCAACACGGAAATATATATTACCAGTCTTAGGTGGTATCAAATCAAGTCTTGTCTGTAGCCTGAAATCCAAACACAATCAGCCTCAACATATTATCAGTATGAATCAAGCGTTTTTGCGATACGAGTCAGGCAGTGAGACTTTTGAAATGAATTTCCGTTATGTCAATGCTGAGTTGAATATAGACAGACAGTTCAATTTAACAAGAAAGTGCAATGAGACTATTTCCAACTTCCTGAAAAGAATTGAAACAAATATGGAGAAGTCACTGATTAAGAAGAAGAAAAAGAGCCGAAGAAAAAATAATCTGAAGGATACTAATGAAATGGGTGTAGAGTCAAGTAACGGAGAGGATAAAGTTATTTTACTTAAGAATAATGAAAGAGTCAATGGAAATACACTATGCGAAACGTTACTCAATCATTCTTCGTCGTTGCAACTTATTATAATGGGAATTCCATATGAAATAAGCTTTAATGCTCCATGGGTTTTACATATGGCTTTACCTGCCTGTATTCTAGCTGGATTTCCTACATATCCTTCAAAATTTGAGGCTTTGCATACAGATAGATTACATTCAGTGTTTAATTGGTACAAAAATATGAAGAATGGGAACTCTAAACAAGAAACTGAATCTTGGGAGGAAGTGGGCCAAGGGTATTTTTATACACCTAGTTCTGAGGATATTGGCTGTCGACTTAAATTAAGCTGCTTACCCAAAAATTCTAAATCAATTGGACCAGCTGTTGAAGTGGAGTCTCATGCTAGTATCAGTGCTGGTCCAGGTCATTGTCCATTTGAAACACGGCACTTATTTACCTCCAATAAATTATCTGGCAAAAGGTACATTATATGGCTACTGCAGAATACGACTCCTTGAAGTTAGCTGTGTATTATTTTGCATTTTTTTTTTTATATGAAGCTTTTCAAGAAGGAGTCATATTCCTTTTTGCCCATTTAATTATATATCATGTATCATAAATATATTCATAAATTAAAGTACTTAAGATGACACTGTGTTCTTTAGTTTCAGAATTACATCCTACAATATATTAGCAGATACTTACACTGATTCGGATTACTCTAGAGAAGTATTATTTCCTTATTGTCCACCATATGCCTTAGATATGGATTATAGAAAACAATTAATAATGAAGGAATTAATGGGTAATATTCTGTTTCCTATATTTATATTAACCCTTTGTTGCAACGTATTATGATTTCTTTCAAAACATAGTTTAACCTTTCCAGGATATAATGCCGACATAATTTGTTTGCAAGAAGTAGATAATAAGGTATACGACGTAGATCTATATCCTACATTATCATCTTTGAACTACAATGGTGTGTACAATCGTAAAGGAGCTGGCGTTACCGAGGGATTATCGACATTTTACAATGATGAAAGATTTGAAAAGCTAAATTTCGAATTCACTGTTATTGGTGAGAACTTGCACCTAAAAGACTTTGCGTCCGTGTGGAATACAATTACAAACGAAAAAATGAAGGAGCGGTTCTCAGAAAGAAATACTACTGTACAGGTAAAGTAATAAAAATACTCCTATCCAGTTTTAATATATTTGACCAAATTTCTCAGATAACTACTTTGAAGTCCAAAGAAGATCCTACGAAAATACTTCTTGTAGGCAACACTCATCTATACTTCCATCCAAATGCCGATCATATTAGATTATTACAAGGGTATTATGCCTTAAGCTACGCTCACGAAGTAGCTAAAAGGACACAAGAGCAGGTATTGTACACAAAATAATAACAATATAAACAAAATATGTCAAAAAATAGCGTAGATCTGAATCTCTTTTCAAAATCCTGAGTTAAATTTACTTTTAGAATCCCGATTGTAATGTAAGTATTTTACTGTGCGGCGACTTCAACAGTGTTCCTGAATGCGGGATATATCAGTTAATGACAAAAAGATATGTACCGAATGACTGTAAGGACTGGAGCAGTTGTAAGTTTCAAAAATGTATCCAATTTTTAGAATACGATTAAATATTTTCGTTAAAAAATAATAATGTATTTCAGGTCCTGAAGAGATTGTCGAGAATGTTTCTCTTTCCCATAGCCTGTCATTTGACAGTGCTTGCGGCACACCGGAATATACGAATTATACAGCCGAATTTGCTGACTGTTTGGATTATATTTTTTATCAGACAGATAATTTAAAAGTTTCACAAGTAATACCGATGCCAAGTAACGAAGAACTAAAACTACATACCGCCTTACCGTCTGTAGTATTTCCAAGCGACCATATATCATTGTGCGTCGATTTAGAATGGATCAAATAAAACTGAGGTACTTGATCTTATCGCATATAGGCGATAATTCCAAATTATGTAAATAACCCTTGTTGAATAAAAGAATGAATGACGTCTGATTGGTGTCACTATTTTTATTAAAAAATATTCATTCTTGAGTAATTTTTAGGCATTCACGCCATGTGAAGAGAAAAAAAAGATTAAAGACCCAATGCTCAGTACTCTGTTCTATAATAGGAAATTACACCTGTTCTTTGATTTCTTGATTATTTTATCTGACAATTGATTGCGAAGTAACATCAATATTCAATTTCATATCGTATAGAACAGGTTCTTCGTATCAGACTGTTATTTTTATACACATTACTTTCATTTATAACATCATAAAGTATACATCCATATTTTGGTAATATGAAGTGTTACAAGTGGAGTAACGTTACATTACTTTCTACTTCTCTAACGCTTTTGAGTTAATTTACAAAACTTATATACAGACTATCCCTCCCTCCATGACTTAAATATGAAAAAAACGAAAGAGGATGAGTAAGAGGACCGCAGATGTCACTAGGACTGGACAATCAATGCCAGCATAATAAAACAAAAATATCATACCCTTTTACAAGAGACATCTGTCGTCATCTTCTAATCTAGAAAGAGCGATAACACTGAAGAATCACTGAGATAATTTGTTTCCTTCACATTCTTTCGAAACGTTTACCTCGATTTTCGTAGCACGCTGATTATTTCAAAAATAGAAACAATCCACGTCGCATGTGTACGAAAGACAAGCGCGAACTTCTCTGCAGGCCTCGAAGTATTCGAATATTTGCAACACACGCTTGTAAAAAATCTTAAGATATCCTATGTATTCTCCGAAGTTAATACTCCAATTTGAAACCACAAATCATAAACCGCGGCACTTGCTTCTCTCAATAATGATTAGTGCGAACTACGTCATGGGCGTGTCTAACATTCACTTAACCCTTAATCAATCAAGATGAATAAATTTGATATTGAAAATAATACTTGATACTAGTTACATATGTAAAATGAAAAAAAAAGAATTCAAAAATTGCAACGTTAAGAAAATTAACTCTTTATAGATACGAAGAAGATGATGGAAAAACTTGATGTTTTCATTTAGCCCTGAAATATTTCTCGGAGTTTCTATATTCGCAGCACTTCTAATCGCAACTAATTTCAGTTGACCACAGGGTCTAAAAAATTAAAAAAAGAAATTCACTTTTCACAGACTTGCTATTTATTAAAAAAAATAGCTTCCCTCTAGGTGGAAGCAAAAAAAAATGAAAAAACGCATGTCATGCTTTTTTAACAGTTTGACGCGTCACTTCCTCTTTTCTTGCGGTTAATCGACTGTTTTTCGTGTATTACCTTTATCATTATTCTGTCTTCGCTTTCGGTATATTCTCAATTTGACAAATCTGTACCTACGCGCACGGAAACACCAATGTGTAATACCAGAGATACTGAAGAGAAACCGGAATATCCGAGAACTACAAAGGAGTCTATGTTAAATCAGCGCATAACAGTTATATTCAAGATCACATCCCTCTTCTTGGTGCACTTGGTGCAAGTAATTGCAATGCTGTCATTGCGTCTGGGAATAACGAATGATAATTGACAACAGGCACATAAGCAGCTGTTATAACACGACCGGCAAACCATCTGCCGTGTAACGAATTAACTGCAGCTACTGCCGTTGCGATAGATGGACACTTGACATATACGTTGCCTTGTGGTGAAGCTTGATCCACATACACGTGTAACACACCACCATGTTTGTTACACTCTTCAATCACATCATCTCGTATCTCCTTTGCCCAGTTTGGATTAGTTTCACTAAGAACATTTAACGAAATAATTTTTTAGAACATGCAAAACTGGAGACAATTATTCTTAATTTTTAATCAAGAGTTTGTTATGTCATCTAACAAACTTTTAAAGTAGCCCAAAGTAGCTCCTTTGTTTAAGACAACATTTTTGATCTTGCATACTATTGTCCCCCTGATAGAAGTATTGAAAACTTCGGACCAGGTCTACTAAATATGCTGAAGGTGTTCGTTTATGTAAATATGACGGAAAATTTTTGCAACTTACTTTTGAGGATCGAACATGTTGGAAAGCATAAAGCACTGTGTGGCTATGGGAGGTGCGGCCTGTGGTGGAGGTTGCGGCGCAGCCATTACTGGAGCCATATTTAAGGCATTCGCTGCTGCTGGAGGAATCTCTAGTCCAGTTCCTTCAGCTAGTTTGAACATTAATTGCAACCTGGAACAGTAATGATCATTGTCATAACAATATCTTTAATACAATTCTTCTATTATTAGAAGAAAATGATTCTATTATTGGATATTTCATAATCACTTACCGGCCAGTTGCACCAAGATCAATTCCACTTCGATCTAATTCATCGGTGTCCAATAATGAAGGCCCTTGAATCAGATCTGTTCTTTCTGTTACATTGCCAACTTTCATAGGTCTACCAGCTAATTCAAAACCATTTAACTGTTCCAACGCCTTTTTCGCATCGTCAGCATTCCTGAACTGTAATATAGCAATTTCTTAGTAACAAGAACAAGACCATGAATGAACACTTTTTTATACTTTTAAGCACAGTGTAACTCTTACCGTTAAAAATCCGTAACCTTTGCTTCGTCCAGTCTCGGGATCCATGATTAACTGAATATTGTCGATCTTACCGAACGGCTCAAATATTCCACGTAACATATCCTCGGTAATGTTAAAGTGCAGAGATCCTACGTAAAGTCGCATGGGACCTGTCTGGCCCTTGGGCATTAAATTGGGCATAGAGTTTCCCATGCGATTCTTTTCCGCCTGTGTGTGCTGCACCACGATGGGAACACCCAAGAGTTTCTGTCCCGATAATCCCAAAGCCTATAAAAAGAAGTAAAAGTATCATTATCGTATGATCAATCGTCGTATTCAAATCATTCGAAAAGACGGTACTATAATTATAATGTAAAAACAGCTTACCAGTGTAACACTTTCAGGATCTTTGAACTCCACATATGCAATACCCTTGAAGCGCCTGGTCTTGTTACATGTAATGAGTCTGACATCTTGAACTTTGCCAACGCTTGAGAAAAATTCTTCAAGATCACGTGCTCGAATGCGCTGACTCAGTTGCATGCAGAAAACAGTACGCGCATCACGTTCCTCAGGTGTCAGCTCATCATTTCTAATAACAAAAAATAAGATAGATTTGGTCAGTGAGTCTATTTAATTTGCAACAATAGCAGGTATAAGATTTGATTTTATCTTCTTTATACGAAAATCTCAAGGTTAATAACAGTGCCAACAATGAGCAAATACAGCTTACAAAATAGAATTTATTTATGCTGCAATGTGTTGCTTGGCACAAGTATGGTGTTGGGACTGAAATTTAAAAAAAAAAGTCGACGACAAATTACTTATGTCACATTTTTTATGCATAAATATATTCTCCGATCTTAGAATTTAATTTGGTAAAGATTGAGTTTAGGCAAATTCCGCTGAAGAAAGTAAAGAGGCACTCGTATCTATAAAATATCTTCAAAAGAAAAACTTACATTCCAAGAGGGCTTACTCCTTTTCCAAATGGTGGTCGGGCTCTTGGAAGAGTGATCGGCGTCAAAGATCGTTTTCTTCTCCTCTCACGATCTCTGTCTCGCCTGTCGCGATCACGATCGCCATCGCGATCTCTATCTCGGTCTCGTCTCTCCCGTGATCTAGATTTTCGCTTTCGATCACGATCCCTTTCTCTGTCACGATCCCTATCCCTGTCGCGATCGCGATCACGCCGATCTTTGTCACGCCGATCTCGTGATCGTGAACGGGAACGAGAGCGATGCTTGCTTTTCCTAAAAATAATAACGAGTCTCTAAGTAAATTGAAAATAAATTATGAAATTAATAAGAGATATTCGTAATTGATTCAAATAAAATTAATATCGAATGAATGGATGCTCATCCCTGCTTAAAATTCTTTAATATTATTATTAATATTATTATGTAAAAACTATTTTCATAAACAGAATAAATTACTTGTCAGTACATTAATGAGCTTTGTGTCTTAGACTTTTCCATTGGTATTGAAGAAATGAATGACTTTTAGGGGGAACTAAAAACATTAACTAGACAATACCATAATAAAAGTATACATATACTGTTTGGAATTATGATGTCAAAAATGTTATATGTATAGGATTATACATTTTTTTTTGGCTAGAGTGTATTTCCTAGATACTCACCTTCGTATCAGGTATAACCTTTGGAATAATGAAAATAAGCAGCATTTACACTAACTGTATGGTTCTCTATAACAAAGAGAATATAACTTAGGGTGGATATTGAGAAAGAGACCTTGCATTGTGTGTAGCAATTGCAATAGCAATTACAACAGCCTGATGCAAGTGTCTATTATCTACCAGGATACAATTGCAAACTGCAAGCAACTAATCTTGAAGAAGCTTAGAAATTCCTATCTTAGTATTATTGGCATCGATGAAGTCCACCTCAGTATCTTACAAGAGTACAAAGGAGTTAACATCAGCATATCTCCTATCAATGTTAATCTATGAAAATGTAATTAGTGAAATATGACTATAAGGCTTGTATATAAATTAAATAAGTTTCACTTACCCAGATGACTTGCGGCCAGACCCATTCTCCTTGGAGGACTTGTCTTTGGACGAGGAGTCCTGCTCCTACGAACAGCAAACAGTTGAATGCCATGCCAGCCAGCCGATGTGGCAGGGACGCGCGAACAAGGGGACAAAAAGCAAATCATTTGACGTTAGTTAAGTTTCGCAATGATGACATATGCATTTATAACAATAGTTGCATCATAACAATCGATCATCAAGAACAATGATTTTGGAATTATTATGCACATTTTTTCTTTTCTTTTCTTTTCATATAACAGCATGAGAGACGTGGCAACACTCCTGATTGATCTAATACTAAAATCTTGTGGATCCTTTGATGGGCGCAATTTCTCTCACCCGTAACCTCTCATTCTCTCTCACGTTTTTTCTTGTTCTGTCTCATCTTTTGTTTCTGTTTCTCTTTCTGTCTCTGTATCATGGTATGGATTTTTCACAGCTAGAACTTTGTTTTATTTTTTAGCGTTATTTTCTTTTTCACTGTTAACCGGCGTTGGGCTGACTGACGGGGATACGGCTGAGCTTAGCGTCGCGAGTTTCTTCGCATACACCTGGCTCAAACTTACCAATCGTGTTTATTCGGGTTTTAGGAAAGCATTGCAATCTTGGGTTGAGCATGCCTTGGTCTTAAACTACCAATGGCCAACCACACATCCTTTTTCTTCTGCAAAAGAGAGCCCTCGTCAAAGACAGTACGTTTTCAAGTAACACGTGATGACCCTAAAGCTAAACCTACGGTTGTTTTTGTTTATTTAAACTTTTATTACCGTCATATACTTAGCAAATTCTCACCTCAAGGGAAATGTGAACCTACGTCATTAAGCTGGGGTAAAGTAGGATTAAGCTAAAGGATAATTAAATAAGTTCTATTGAATTCTTAGAATTACCATTTCCCCTTCCATTAAATCGTTCTGGCTAATTCATTTTTCTGGTACAAAGAAAGACTTACTTTCTAATGACCGTATCCGAGTATAAGTTCCCTTATGAGTTCTATCATGTGGTATAACTAAGTGCCAATTTTATTTAGATTTTGTATTAGTTTCGTTTTACTCTGTTTTATTTCTAACGGGACATACACAATAACTGTAAACCAGTGAATTCGGCACAAAGCCAAGTGGACCGCACTTTAAAGTGAAATGTTTCTTTAAAAATCATAAATCCGCGACACATGATTGTATTTAACTTTGTAATGCGTTTTGTTATAACGGTTCTGCCGTAGTAGAGTGAATTCCTATTTTCCATAACGAGAATCCCAAAGCTATAGCTTCTTTAAAAAAAAAAATTAATTGCCAAAATATGACGTTCGACTATAATAATCACAAAGATCCCGGTTATAGTAATTAGAATCAAGATAAACAGCACAAGATGGAAAGAGGTCGAGAAGCCCAGATTTCTTCAAAAGATGAGAGCTTTTTTTACCCGCTTGGAAAAATTCGACCGTTTATTTAAATCTTGGCAGAGCTCTCTTAACGCCAGTGGAAATCCGTACGCTGTGAGTCGTCAAAATGTCCTCTGATGTGTTAAGAATTATATTTTCCTTCATAGGGCCATTCAATCCCGTCCTATTGTTCCTGTTTACGGCAGCAAAATAACTGGTTCGACAATCATTACCCTGAGTACATAAAAAAATTCAAACAATTATCAGATGCAAGCCAAATAATCATATGAAAATTTACTGCTAATTTGAAATTGCCGTTAAAATATAAAAGACGGTTGGTTAAATTTTAGACGAGTTCATTACGAAGCAAACAAATAAAAACTTTCTTTTTTAAGCTAACCCGGAATCACCTAACATATTTCGTGTTTCCCTTGGACAAATTGTACGCAAATCTATGTGGCAGCCATGTTGCCACTATGGAAATGATAGCCGGTTTTTTTTCACCTTTTTATATGCATATATAAACACACACAATGAAAAAAAGTTGGCACTTTTGGATACTTATGTACGTATTCAGAATTAACTTGGTGACATAGGATGCATGTCGCAACGTATGAAAAGCATCGTTTTGGGGACAGCAGCACCGCGTGGCAAATAATTTGCAGCGTAGAAGAAAAATACAATGTGATACAGTACAATTAGGATGGAATAGAATCCTAAATTTCCCAGTGAGTTTTCCCATCAGTGTCGACACTTACGTAAATAAATTGATGAGTATATACATATAATATAACACGACATAAATATATATTATACACGAATATTCTAAGGTTCCCTAGAGGTAATTTTTTTTTTAAATTCCTCGTAGTAGTGGAGTAGGAAAAGAAAGAAAGAAAAGAAAGTAAATAGATACAAAAAAAAAGTATAAAAAATTGATGATAGTGATGTCTTTCTTAATACCTCGTATTTCAAGTGCATTCTAGGAACTCGCTGTGGAACATCGCACGAGCGCGAGGGTACATGTTACGTACCATCTATAAGTACAGAAAATGTCGGCATTGATCAATAGAGTAGGCAAGAATAGAAAAGGTGTTACATTTTGGCTCTAAGTTTCTCACAATGGTAGCGCGCATAGGACAGAGAGCGGACATTGGTGTGTTGTATGTACGTTTTTGGAATGTACTGTACTGTGTTACTATAAAATATTACAGAAATTGTACGTTACAAAAGCGTCCATCATTCAAAATGGTACGCCAGTAAAATGTCCGCGGCTACAACGTCGAGAAGCGTCAGCCGTAGCATTGATTCAAGAGGACTCGAAGGAAACACAAAAATTAAAAAATAATCTAAATTCAGCACATGCCTCTATTACTGTACGAAACGAGAAAAACATAATAGGAAAACGATTACAGACGCGGATAATAGCATAAGATGTTTAATGAGCAGTTTTGTCATAAAATGAAATAGAAATAACTTACCCCCTTTTTGTATGGCGCCTCCAGCATTGCCTCGACATCCAAGTCCTCCGCCATTGTGCGACTTGGGGAGCTTTCTGAAATGCCACGCATTAGCACACGAGGAATATCGAGGAGTACGCGATTAAACTTTCTATGTATTTACAACGTACGGCTAGGGAGATCTTTTTTTTTAAGTATTAACAAACGTTAGTATTTATATTTCTCTATTTCTTTAGCTCTTCAAACTCTCTTTCTTTGTCGTTCTCCCTTCTTGCCCTTCGTCTAGTTTCTTTGCTGCTTTTGCTATTCTCAAGTTCTACACGGAACGATACAGTACGACATGAGACCGATTCTTCACTAACGATTATTTCACCACGACCGCACCAGCAAGACGACCGACAGAAAATGGAGGGCTCCCGGATGTGAGTAACAAATTCGACGCCGGCCCCGCCCTCTAACGTAAATGGCGCCACCATAAACTATGACGAGTATAGTGTGGAAACTTCATTGATAATTATTGACTATACTCACGGCGCCATTTTTGAAACGTCGATAGCTTACCAACAAGGAGTTTTATGAACGCTTCTACTGTGTAGATAATGAGTTTGATCAGACCATCGAGAAGATAGCGGCAAAAGATAAAATCGTATGTTTATTGCTCCTTATATTTTTCCAATCGCTCCGCTGCTATTACACAATGATTACATTTTCATTAAAATAAATATTTTTTTATTGATATTCGGTTTTAGCATTCGAAATTTTTTACGTATTTTGTATACATCGCTACAGTTGATAAAGTCGAATTTAATGTAATACCACAATTAATACTGTAGGTGGCTAAAGCAACTGTGTTGCACACTGTTATGAATGGGTGGCATGTAACGAGTAACACATATAATATACGAAATTCGCTATTAATACGAGAGACCGTCGTGCAGAATTCTCTTCATTAAAGGGTTCTAGGTAAATCCTTTTAACTAGTTCTCATTATCAAAGCATAGTTCTACCCTGTCTAATTGCTTAGCTTATTAGAAAGCTTAAAGTTTGTAATATTTTACTGGGAGAAATTAAACCTATATTAAATTTTTCATAGAATGAAAACCGGACCCTGTTGAATACTATGACGTCCCACGGTCAAGCTGGGCTACGAATCCGGTTTCGAAATGTCTCTAAAAAAATGTCGAATAACCAATGGAGAGTCCAGAAGTCATAGACAAGTTGTGTCTTATTAAAAAAAGCAACATATACATTAGTTTCATACACAAACTTTACCATATAGATTGCCAATTATATATATTAAAACTGAAATTTTATTTTTAAATTTCTCAAAAAGACTATTGATCTCTAATAAAAATGACCCTTGCCTTCCTATTCTTTATACGATGTAAAATAAGCACAATATATGTGTGTATATGTGTATACATATAAATTTGGCTATGGCATACTTTGGAGACGATTTCATTTACGAAGACGCTTATTTGAGGACATTTGGCTGTTTTGGAGTCCGACCTCAAAGTTTTTCCAGCGTAATGAGTGTTTTGAGGACCATAAAGTGGACTCTCACATCAAATTTGTTTATATTTTTTCAATGTTAGACATCCAGTATTTGTTAGGTTAGGTCAGGTTAGATTAGGCAAGAATTCCAATGCTGTCACATCCCAAGGTATTAGTTTTTTTTTAAGCATTAGCTTGCTGTATGGCACCTTAATCTTTCGCGTCCCCAATGTATCCCGTGGACACGTTTATATATATATATATCAGCCAAAAAGTAATCCATTAATCACTGTAGTTGCACAAGGGTCGAAGAAAGGTGGTTGGTTAGGGAAGGACGAGAGTAGGTTGAAGGTAAGACAGGATAAAAGACCGTAAAGCATAATGAAAGGTGGGTTAGAATGCGAGGCTAAGGAAAAGGTTAGGGAATGAAGGAAGGATGTAGTATACTATATCAGATATATACAGTTCCACACGTATATATAAAAAAGTATATATCTAAAGTATATATGCACACGAGGCGTGGCCCTTTCTTCTTCCCTACCTAGGGTACTTGCGCCCCAACGATTTTCGGCAAGTTTCGGCCTTGGGGTGCATAAACTATTTCCAGTATGGTCAGGGAGAAGCCATCAGTAGTAGTAGTAGTAGTAGTAGTAATAGTAGTAGCATCAGCAGCAGCAGCAATATTGGTATTAGTAGTAGCAGCGACGGTGGTACTATAAAAGGGGAGGTTGAAAGGTTCAATGACCTAATATGGGTCGGTGGGTCTTTGGGGTTAGCACGACAGCAGAAAGGAAGGCCTGCCACATGAAATGCTGTCGAAAAGCAGGAGGCTAAATTGCCCAGGGGTTGGCCAGGGTTTTTCGGTGGCCCTCGCGAGAAGGGTGCAGGCAGTACATGTATAGTAGTAGCTGGATAGAAAAGGAAGTGGGCAAAGGACAGGAAATGGCCAGGCAGGCTCTCCCCCAATTTCTTTCAAGGGGTGAACAAAAAAGGGATCGCGAGCCTCGTGACACATCATAATAATCCAATGAAGAAGCTAGACTTTCTTCGACTCCTTGATTCTTCATCTGGGCCTACGGAGCGTCGGCCATTTTGAATGACAGGTCATTGCACCAGCTATTGCAACACGTGACTCTCGTCATGTAATTGTAGTTTGTACCAGTCTCTCTTTTCTTAAATTTAAGCACTGGGTTACGAAGTGGACAATGAAATATTGAAATGCCAGTCAAGATGTATATTTTAATAACTGAAAATGCTTTTTATTTTCTTGTATTACGACGGTGCATTTTTGGCTCGTGTGGCCGCGACTGCACTTGATTTAGTGCAACTTCATCAAATTAATAATAAAATCAGCTATACCACGAATAAATCATTCACGTACCAACAGACAACCTCTTAAATTTAAATATAATGCTTTCGAGACTATATACAAAAATAAACAACGTAACAACACACAGTCACGACGTAACCGCCGCTGCCACCATCGTCCATCTACTGTTCAGCGCCGCCGTGATCTGTTCTCTTCTTACTTTCTTTTTCATTTCTTTTGTCCTTAGGTCACTCTTACGTGTACCCTTATACGTACGCAATCGCGCTCTTACGTATAATGGCTCTGCGGGACGATTGGTGCAGCGGACAGTTGCAGCTATTGCATTTCGCACTTCACGTAATCATTAATAACTAGCTAGTACACGAACTGCTCTACTTTCAAATTCGATTATAAACTTACGCTATATACGTTAATATGTATACGTCTGTTCACTGATATTAATTTATAAATATATATTCGTTATATATATATATATTAACATACAATATACACTTTAATGGCAGGCGGTTTGCGTCAGACTGGCGCTAGTTTTAAGTATTATTTTTATGTATATGTATGTATAGTAATAACGGGCTGCTCATGATAATTTCACTGCGTCAATAACTAATTAACAGTTGCGACAACAAAGAGTCTTCGTGAACGTTATTTTTAAGGTCCTGAGAAGTTTGACGTTTATGTTACTTTTTTTTTTCCGTAATCTCCTGTCTCCACGACCGGAAAGGATATTTTCCTCGTTTCGCGTAATTCCCACGATGGCCCGCGCGCGGTAAACATGCCGATCACGAGTTCACGAGTAAAATGTTTTCATTTCTATTTGCGTGCATCAGCACATCTATAGGTATACGCTTCTTCGCTTTTTTTCTTCTTCAATTTTTTAAATCTCTTTCCCTCACACGCACGCACCACGCGATGGTCAAGTAGTCAACTATTATTATTATTATTATTATTATTATTATTATTATTATTATTATTATTATTATTATTATTATTATTATTATTATTATTATTATTATTATTATTATTATTATTATTATTATTATTATTATTATTATTATTATTATTATTATTATTATTATTATTATTATTATTATTATTATTATTATTATTATTATTATTATTATTATTATTATTATTATTATTATTATTATTATTATTATCATCATCATCATCATCATCATTAAATTTATCGTTTCATTTCATTCGTAAGTGATTCGCAAAAGATTAGTGCCCTTGATTTTGGATTAATTTCCTACTTTTTTTTTTTTGCATGATAAGCCTTTACCCTGGACAAAATTAACTCACGGATACGGGTCGATGTAATACCCACGTAAATATATCTATATACGTATGTAAAAATAGCGAGAGACTTCGATGCCCGACAAAGTACAATTTTCGCGATGGCCTCTACATGCTATTGATTGAAGTAGTTGGAATCTTTTTCTTTGCCGTGGAAACCGGTCATTTCACCCAGAATGACGATAAAAATAAATTCGTTAAGATGCAAAGGTAAAGGCTCGCGTAAAATTCAACATGAAAGATGTTGAATACCAAAAAAAAAAAAGAATTATAATAGTAATTCATCGTCCTGTGATGCGTGCCTAATAGTCGCACCAATGAGCCTTAATATAAGTTTTTTTTTTTTTTTTTAATTATATGTACGTACGGGTGTCTATCTTATCCTGCACATGTGAACCATTAATTCTAGTAGATATTGTTTTTAGTCGTTATGTGGTAATCAGTTCGATGCGCCAACGGGGATACAGTGCGTATCCTTGTGGGAAGTAAATTATTAATTAATTATTGATGGTGTTGCATCCGCCGCGCGTGCCACGCAAGATGATAACAAACTTATAAGAAAGAAAAAGGACAGAGACACGTGTACGTTGCTTATCGCGCCACAATTATTTCCATTAGGGCTTAAATCGCTGCAATGATTTTTTTTTTAAATCCGTTTTCTCTACTCCTCTTAATTATCTACTTTTCCTTATTTCGTTTATCCGCTTTGCGCCCTCAATCGATTTACCGTCTTTGTAAATTATCTCGAAAAATCAAGATCCTTACCGAGATCGGTAATCGTTTAAAAGTGCAAAAAAGGTGAAAAAAGATGACCGCGCCGATTTGTAAAAACGAAAAATACTCTTAGACAAAGCGTATTTTTCGCTTTATGAATAATAATAACAATAATAATAATAGTAATAGAGAGATAGATAAGAAATGAAAATATAAATGGAAGAAACTTAATCTAATTTCGCCTTACGATAAAGAATAATAATAATAATAATTACACGTTAATCGTTAAATTACGAAGGATAGGTCGAATATAATATAAATATAAGCCTATACGTACAGCAGACCATGCGATATACTTATACGTATAAATATATATATATATATATATATATGTATGTATACACAAATATATTTGTTGCTAAGGGATACTTTGGGGACGATTTCATTTACGAATTTGCTATGTTGAGGACAAGTGGCTGTTTTGAGGACCATATTGCGGTCTGTCACATCAAATTTGTTTATATTTTTTAAATGTTAGGCATCCAGTATTTGTGATAGGCTTAAAAATGATAGATTAGGTCAGAACTCTAATGCTGTGATGTCCCAAGGCAGTAGTTTTTTTTTTAAACATTTGATTTTTTGTGTCCCCAAAGTACCTCTTTGGCAAACGCATATATATACATATACATATATATGTATACATGCGTGCATGTACATATGCATATATGATATACGTTTGTCGTATTATCTTGTTTCGCATTTTGTATACTGTACACACACATGTGTGTATACGCCTGTATAATACATATATATATATATATTATATACCATATATACATATATATATATATACGCTTGTACTGGCAGTGGGCTCAGCTTCCCTCAATACTCTGGTAGTACGGAGTTCTTATCACAGAGATATCAATTGTTTGGTGCTTGTAGTCTCTAGCCGCGATCACTATGATATTTTTTTCGTGTGTCCTTTGTGCATGTTTCTTTGCCGCGTTGCGAGTGTTCACGATGTACGAGAGAGTGTACGCGCGTGTTTCCCATATATTGTCAATGTTGTATATCGGATGCCATAAAGAGGAGGATATTAGAATCAGAAATCTCAATTCCGTAATAGTTTGTCAAACTTTTGATAATTTAATTCGATTCTTCTTGTATGGTGCTTTGTTTTTTTATTGCCAATTTCGCGCTTGAAAATTTCTAAAATTCAGTTTCCGCCATCTTGACCCTTCACGTGCCAGGATACACTATGCCGGTTTAGGAAAAACCTGCTCTCTCGAAGAAAGTCCAGGTTTAACATAAATTGAATGAATCTACGATCACTGAATTTTTGTAATATTAAAAAAATTGTATATTTATTTTCAATAAATAATACGATATATACTTAAAAAATACTCCTGCTGGATTACATTAATAGGAATATATTGATATAAATAATTATATTAATTTACTACGTAACAGTGGTACGCAGTGAATGTATCCTACAGGAGCATTTGGTAGTTAAAGGGTTAAGGGATGATCACGAGGCTTTCTTAGGCGCATCCCGCCGAGACTTTGTTCGGGTCGACCAGAGTTACGGAAGTAACTATGTGTGTGTCGTGCGGAAAGGTAGATTTTGCATTTTTGAAAAGAGAATCGGATCCCCTCTTTCAAAGTGAAACTATAAAAGGTACTTCTTTAACGAGGATTAAGAGTTAAACAATAGACACGTAGACATAGAGAAAGAGATATTATAGATATTGTAATAAATAATTAGATACAACTTCCGAGAAATCGTCACGTTCTACAATCCTACGTATGTATATCGTTCTCTTTGTTACTTACTGCTGCCTTTAAATATTATTTTTACACATTTTTCAATGATTTTTACACGACGCACGTTTTCCCCTCTTTTCCCATATTAATTCCAGTCACATTCTTCCGTATCGAACGTACCGCCGACCACAATCAATGACGCCTCTGATGCTAAAGTGAAAAATCGAATGCTTCATGCACGAATATACGGACTTTACTTTAGAGCGATACTCAATTTAAGGATGGTTGTCACGAAGAAAGAACTAATCAATCGTCCTCCCTAATTCCCTCTAAAAAAATTACTATCTCGCATATCGTCAAAGAAATTAGAGACACTTGAAAGAATTAATAAAAGTGTCTCGCGCACCAATGATCTCTTCCGAAGAAGAAGAGTAGTAGATGTAGTTGTAGTAATAATAGTAGTATGGTAGTAGTAGTGGTAGTATTAATACTAATAATAATAATAATAGCAGTAGTAAATAGTACTAGTAGTACGCATGTATGCACCGTGGAACAAAGAAAGAAAAAAAAATAACAGTAAAGAAAGAAGCAACGATCCTCGGACAACGCGTCGATACTCATCATCCAAAATCAATTATAGAAACAGGAATATAATCCACATTGTAATCCAAGAAGATAGCCCGCAGCACTAAAATTGATGTTGAATGACGACTATAATAGTAATATGTAGTAATAATAATAATGGTAATAATAAACGGACGCACTAAGACGCTTTCGCAAACTGTATAACGGAGTTTTGTCTCTGAGAGGCCAGTTCCGTCCTTTCACTCTCCATAGATTCCAGGATCATCTTGCTCCTCTTCCTAGGTGGCAAGATCAGGGTCTCTCTCACAGGTATCGCCAGGTCGAGGGGATCCGGCGAAGGTGCCGGACTCACAGGATTACTACTGGGGGGCGTAAGTATGGGTTGTCTGTCGACCTTGATAACACCGTACTCCCGTTGACGTTCCTCCTCGACAGCTTCCAGGGCGGCTTCGACCCTCCTCCTCGCGTCATTGCCAGGTAGATTGAGCAAGGAACACTCGTTATTACTTAGCTCTGACTGCAACCCATAAGGATTGTAGTTCGTCGCGACGTCGGGGTAGAGGAATACATGAGAGTCCGGCGTCGATCCACCCTGAGATTGACAGGAACCTCCCGAGGATGACGTTACCGATAGCGTCGAGGGCGAAGATTGAAAAATCCTTTCCTCCGCAGCTGCAGCCGCTGCCGCAGCTGCCAACAGCGCCGGATTGACACCGACTGAATTCACTGGCTGCGTGTATTGTCCATCGCGCGAATACAAATAATAGGAAAAGTCACGAGGCTGTATGTAAGCGTGAGCAGCGGCCACGGCTGCGGCATCGTTGACAGCGCCAACCTCGTCAGTCTTGTTATTCTCTTTATCGCTACTGTTACTGGCGTTACTCAGAGTGCTGCTGCCACCCTGCGAAATCTCGATCATCGGCTCTATCGGGGAGTCCCTTGGCGAACTACTCGCCGAGTCCGAATGGGTCTTGATGTGCATCTCCATCGTCTTTTTCGAATTGAACGTCTCGTGACAGAGGGTGCATTTGTAGACCTTCTCCCCGTAATGCGCCACCTGATGCAACTTCAGCACGTGATTGTAACCGAACGATTTGCCGCATATGTCGCACGTGTATGGCTTTTCGCCCGTGTGCGTACGCGTGTGAACCTTCAATTGTTTCGAGCACGTAAAACCTTTGCCGCAGGCCTTGCATACGTACGGCTTCTCACCGGTGTGTGTACGCATGTGGATCACTAGCTGGCCACTCTGAATGAATGTCTTTGCACATACGGAACACTTGTGCGGTCGCTCGCCCGTGTGTATCCTCATGTGACGATGCAACTTGCCGCTGTGCTCGAACGCGCGCTCGCACACGTCGCACTTGTAGGGGCGTTCCTTCGTATGAATTCGCCGATGTACGCTCAGATTCTCCTTCACCGAGAAGGACTTGTTGCAGTATTCACATTGGTACGGCTTTTCGCCCGTGTGCGTGCGATAGTGACGAGTTAGCCTTGCAGGAACCGCGAACGTCTTGCTGCATATGTTGCATCTGTACGGATCCTCGCCCTCCTTCCCGTGGGAGCGCAAGTGACTTTGATACGCGCTCTTCTGATCGAAACTCTTGTGACACAATAGACACTGGTAGATCTTCTCGTCGTTTATGGGACTCAGGGTGTCCGCCGATGGTGTACCGAAGACACTCAAGTCGGGACTGCATACGAGATTCTTCACGGAGTTCATGGGATCGAGACACTCTGGTACAGTAGTAGATAGCGGCATGGAGGTTGCTTCCCGGCCAGAGATAATTTCCGTTTGATAGAAACCCACCATCCTGGTTGTACGAGTCCAGGGGTTATCTGGAAAAAGGAGAGGACACGAAAAAAAAATGAAAATCGAGCATATTAAGCGAATACAAAAATTGATTCACACTTTAGATTATTTTTTCGAAATTTATTCTTTAAAGGCCTCATACCAGTCTTAGTAATGTCACGTAGAATCGGATCCATGATACTTGTACTTTCTTAGTATTATATTTATTTACAGCTCAGGTATTCAGGGTTTCCTAGTTGTACGCTCGCAATAATACCTAACAATAATGCACTGCCGTTTCTTTTTATAATTGGCGCTTATAGTCTTATATTTAGTTACTGTTTCAATGAGGTAGTTTTATTTGAGGTAGATCGGACACTATCGTTAAGCCGTCGTTCCAGTGCACTCCTTACCACTGGGATGCGACTGTGCATATGCGTATGCGTTGATTACGCACCGACCTGAATCGCTTCGTATTACAGCTCGCGACCCCACTACCATCGTCCACCACCAACTATATCTCTTTTTCCAAGCCCCCAAAAACGCCCACTTGTGCAGCCACGCACTGCGAGCGCAGAGGAAAGAGCGCGCGCGCGCGCACGCTCACACTCTCTCAACCGCGCACGCTCACGTTTCCCAGGACTGCCTTTATTACTTACCAGGCGACGGAAGAAGGGCCTCAAACCTTTCGGTGCCTGCCATTTTCGTCGAATACGAAAATATAAAACCTGCAACACCTGTGCAGGTATCAGGGATAAAAGACAAAAAATCATTCTACCGAATCATTCCTAACGTGAATAATGATCGTTAAAAAAACCAAGTTCCTTGCGTATCGTAAACCAAAGAAATGAATACGTGATCCGAATAGAGCCCGTACGCGAGTTCGTTGGGTATAGTAAGATATTAAAATGAAATTATAACCCCAGTCATATCGGCGTGGGCCGATAATTTAATTTATTTTCGTAGACTTCCGATAATATCCGAAATTGGCAAGAAAGAGAGAGAGATAGAGAGAAACAAAAAAAGGAATGAAAAAAAGAACGATCCCGGTTCTATCTGGGGAACGGCGCAATGTTATTAATGCTGCACGATGGCCGCGTCGTGGCGACCGCTAGGATAGGCCGGGGCTTACACGCGCGACGCTCATAGCCGTGAGGCAGCAGTCGGGAGCGGCCCCCTGCAACGAGACGAGCCACTACGGTAGAAACCAATGGCCGCTGCCTCCACGTGTACCTTCTACATTTTTTTATAGCGATCACCGACCTCGTGCAACTCGCCGCGCGGTAAGGACGTTGCGTTACATCACAGTGCTGTACTTTGCGTCGCGAACCTACAGAAAGCAAACGTCTTTTTACTTCGTTTTTTTCCCCATCAAAAAAATCACGATGCCTCGTGAACGATATATATACTATACACGTATTGTATATATTATTATGTAGTTAGTAATGTGCACGAGACATATAGGTGCGCATTTAGGCAGTATAAGACGAGTACAGGGCTGTATCTTTAAGGGGATAAAAGATGAGACAGTGAAATGTAGTCAGACGGAGAGTGAGCGAGAAAGAAATATAGAGCAGGACACGGGAGAATGGCGATGTAAAAATATTATTGATCGGACAAATTGGCCCTAGTGTTGTAACTGAAGGGACCTTCCTAACGAGGGCCTAACTCGACTGCGCCGTTGAGGATGCGCAATTCGTTGCATCAATGATTATCCTTTAGGGATTGTCTTTTTTATAAGGATACTTCGCAGTGTTAATTGAATCTCGATAGAATGCATGAGCAATTGACAGGACGAAGGAATTTATTTTTCGGAATTAGATCTTGCGAAATCTAATTCGAGCAGGATCCACAGAAGACTTAAATATTGCGCGCACGATCTTCTAATGTAGTTTCAACAAGATTTTGGTAATATAATTCGTATAACGAAACATTGACATTAAAAACTCGCATTGTAATTCATATTTTCAATGTCATTTTGTCATCGTATGACTGGTATGAGTGTCAGAAAAGGAATCTATCTATGAGACAAAGATAACAGGAAAACATGCTTGTTCCAGTTTTCGAAAAAATGAGTCATACGAAGAAATAAAAAAAGCACTAAAAATGTATGCATTGTCAAAAACAGTGTACATTACACGATGTTTATTATACATCGAAAGGTACTGTAAATAAAAATGATGACGTACCTCAAAGGAACAGTAGTGCCAATAATCTTCATATATGTGAAATGCGTAAAATCACGTAGCAGTTATACTGTTGATAGTAGTACTAACAGTAGCAGTAGTAGCAATGTACGTTGAAGAACCGTGGTCCATGCCCGTAAAAACCAGACCAAGATGATAAAAGAATTCCAGGTACACAGGTTATGATGGAGACTATCGAAAAAGTGTCTCCCATTCCGAACGTCGGAACACTCCGTTAGCTTGTGTCAAAACTCATATGACAATCGAACTCGCGTAAAGGAGGTATTTCGCCGGATTGCGTTTAATTCACTGCTCTCCGTATAACAGGGATAAACGTTTAAAAGCGAGAAAAACCGAAGGACCCGCCTCGGGACGACCAATCATACTGTGTAATGTTTACCTCCTACTGGAGCCGAAGAGCGACGGAAATAATCGATCACTTCCGAAGTATGCACGAGCCGAGCCGAAGTTGAGCGCCAGGGACGCCACGATACCCCCACTCCTTGTTGGTAGCCGTGCGACGACGACCTACAATTTAGGGCGACTAAGTGTTCGCTGGCAGCACGTGGAGGCAGTCGTAGGGGTTTCCGTCCGAAGTTGCGCGTGCAAGTCACACAAGGACGAGTCTCGCCAAGCAAGGAACAACACAACGGGGATACGCTTGCTTGTCGGCGAGGAGCTGCTGGCGGTGGCGGCGGTCGCGGTGGATGGAGGGGACGGAGGAGGAAGAGGTTAGGTTAGGCGTCGAGGGTTACGACGAGGACGTGGAGTACGAGGAAAGTGATTGGGGGCTACGTAAGTCGAAGTGAGACGAAGAATCTCATCCAATGAGTGAAACAGAGTTGGCTATCGCATACTCAGAGGACGCGGTGACCTGCGGACTGGCTTCGACTCGTGCATCCACAGACAGACGCACGCACTCTCACGCACTTGTTTCTCACTCATGACTCCCACATCGAAACCAAATATCAAATGCTTCTCTCTTTATGCTCCACCTATTTGTCTCTCTTTCTCTTTATTCCTTCTGCCATTGGAAAGCTATGCGTGGACTCACTATTTATCTTCCCCTCTTCGCGCCATGGGCCTGGTCTCTGTTTTCTGCGTTGCGTCTTCTTGCCTGGAACAGCTTTGTCATTGATAGAGGGTCTACTATCGTTGTGTACATCATAAGAAGAGCCACGCGTATTCACATACGTGACACTTAAACAATTTTCTCCGATTAAGTTAGCTTTCTTTCATTCGTCTTTATATTTAATACATCTCATATCTCTTACCTGCTATATAATCACTACTAGGTTAATCTATAGTTTTATTCACAATCTAGGGGAGACATCTGTTTTGAATTTAGGATATCTATTGTCTGTCTCCGATTAAGGATTACAGAGAAACAACATTTTTTAAAAATGTTATTATACGTTGCGGTCGCCGCCATGATGCATCCATAGTGCCAGTACTGTTCCGAATCTTGCATACTACTTGGGAACCATTCCAAGAGCGTATATTTTGATGGTGAAAGCAGTGTGGATCAAGAAAAAGAAAAATAAGGATGGTGCGTCTAACGGGGCCAACGTTCGAATTACTCGTTGCTGCAACCGATGCACTCGGTGTTTTTATATTCAGTGTGCCCACTGTATGTCGAAACACGACGCATCCGAGTAACTCAAAGGTGCTACCTGCTACATAAAATATAAAATGAAATTTTTATAAAGTCAATAATGTCCAATGTCGTTACCAATGTTTTCCTTTTGTTCTAGATCTCTTCTCGAAACTTCGTGAAGCATAGGCGAGGTTTTATCGTAACCTAAAAAAAGATGTACGTAGAAAAGAATCTGGGCCAAGTTCGAATATTTGCGCTCGGTTTTTGCCCGCATGAGTGTGTTTGACATGTCTTCACGCGCGCGACTACGTCACTCGCTTGAAAATAGTATTATCGCTGTTTTATCGATGCCCTCCGTATTCTCGGAAGCTCTCGTCTCGTGTCTTCGATACACCGCCTCACAAACGTCTTTGATATGCGAACGATATTTGCCATCGCGATATAATTTGTTCAAATTTTTTAGGTTAATTTGAGATTGTGACAAACAGACGATTAATGGGGGGAAAAAATATTGGAGACATTTTTTTTGCGAAATTCCTTTATCGCGATAATAAAAAAGTGTGCGCGTTATCATAAGATTAACAAAATTATATGCAAGTGAATAATCCTTTGTACCGACAGGTGCAAAAATTGACGTATAAAAATATCCGTAACAATTTCAAAATGAAATCTAGATAAAAGTTGACTAGTATCATTGCTGGTATTACTGTATATTATGTATTGTGAGGATATGCATTATCTATTAATATATCTATATATACGATCGCACGGCATATAATATTTTGGAGGTTCGGCAAGTTCCATAGGTCGAAACAATAGTTGCAAATTGACAAAAGATAATGTCAATATGCTTTTAGTCCTGATCCGTCATATAGATCTTTCTAAGAAATTGCCAAAGCGCCGTCGTATTTCGAAAATTCGATATTGGATCGTTCGCAAATGCTTGATACGTAAATAATTTAAATAACAAAAAATGCTAGAATAACATTATACCAACGAGGCATTATACACGTGCGAGCATATCAAAGGTAAATATCGTTTCTCGCATGTACAGTCGACGGCGACGTCGCCACGTGGAGAGCGTAACCATTGATTTCCGAACTCTGGGGTATTTTAGAATTTATATCAACGTGTTTTCGGCCATATTCTCCTACCACAATGTACACACTAGTATACGTAAAGGGCAAATATGTACGTGAGAGTACGCGTGCGCCACTCCCACTCAGCCCTTACACCCATCGAAAAAGGGTATATATATATAAATATTATATATATATATATATATAAAGAATAATCCACATAGAACGGCTGAGGGGACAGAAGGGTGGCGCCGGGGTTTACAACTTATCCCCCTTATCCCTGCACACCAGTGTCACGCACACACACTCGACACGTGCACCAACACCGAATCAGAACCCCACGACCTCTACCACAGGGGGTGACGTTGACCCCCCTATACTACCAACGCTGAAGTTTACAGGGCGCTGAATGTTCCGGGAGAGAAAGTGACACGGGCCTTAACGCACCATCTTGAGGAGGGAATACGAGGGTGGGTTTTCTGAAGGGTGAAAGGACACGGAGAAGACGTCGTATCGATCCCTTCGAAATACCTTACGTGCAATGAATAGGTGCAGGCTTGGATGCTATATTTTTTTAAGGACACAGGATACTGCGAATGTAACGTGGATACGCAAAGCTTGGCTAATATCGTGATTTCGTGCGTCAAATATCGAATAGGCGAATCTGCAATTCGCGACATGATTTACATGCGCACCCCATTCGCCCCGTACAGTGGCTGATCGGATGTTAAGAAAATCGAAAGATTCTTTGTCTTTTAAAAAAACAAACATGACCACACCCAGCATCATGTTTTATTTATTACGCTGGCGATTGCATAAAACCTATCTTAAAAAGAAGTCAAATAAACCATCCACCGACAAATGGTTCGGCTCGAGGTCAACCCCCCGAAAAGGATATCATCGTGGATGTCACGTAGGCTGTTGTCTGCGCTCTCTGCTGCGAGAATCCTGTGACAATAATATTGGTACCGATTACGATTTCTCTCCTTGTTGCTGTTCCTGTCTTCGTACAGACTTTTCACGCTACGTTCTCGCTAGATGGCAGCATTTCGAACGATCAAATTCAATGACGACAATGAAAATGACGATATCATGGCGAAGGTCATGAATTTTTCGCTAAGCAGGTGTCAGCCATCGTGTAATATTATTATTTGACAGTGCCGCGTGTAGGAGCAATGACCCACTGTGTATGCTGCACGTGTAGAACGGTGAAACCGCGACGACTGCCTCAAAACTCGGGGCATTGGACGCTGCGTGGCTGGCTACGTTCCCTTCTGCTCTCCTGCCGTTGTTGAACTTATGGGAGTGAGCGCCCCTATCGGTAAGCGATCGAATTAAGTAACCGTCACATGCCTTCGAATCGTTGGATCGTTACTACATCGCACTTGCTCATACAGTATCGTCGACTAATAATTTCTATAAATACTCTTAACTACTATTATCGAATCGTCTTGTATCTCTACATATATTATATCGGGAATTTAATTCGGCAGCCGTTATTAGCGTGACGCTTAGTTTTGCACTTGTATCATTTTTTTCTTGTCATTTTATTCAATGCTCTCACTGCTCTCTCAATGGCTTCGTTTTTATAATTTATACGGCTGGTTTATCATAGATAGATGTATTACAGTACACATATATCCAACTATTCTTCGCTACTCCTGCCAAGAGCCTGTTTTCATGGCGCTGAAAGAGCCAAGCCAGTCGCAGTCCCAGTAGTGGGGGTCGGTCTCTAGAGCGGTGTCGTACCTTGACCAATCTCAACGCGACTTGTTTTAAGCTATGCCGACGTCGTAGTCGTTGAGAGCGACCTTAGAGAAACACATCGCAGTCGTCTGGTCCGAACCGAAATGGCGAAGGGAACGCACACGCTGATACAGTCTCGTTGCCGTTATGAGCATCGAAAACCGGATACGCCGACGATGACGATGCTTCCGTTGAGCTATCACGAAATTGCTCCCGTACGCAAATTTCAAGCGTAGGATGTCGGCTTACCGAACACTCGTAGATATTGAATGGCGACCAATGCGGGTTGTGGATTTTAAATTGTTCGCGACACGAATTAGGGCCGATTCTTATTTGAATATCCTTAGGATAGGTTAGGTTAGGTCGACTGGTTACTTATTTATAGGTTAAACGTAGACACGCGCGCTATAACATTGACCTAGAATCTTATTCGCAGACTTCTAGCAGCGGCACTTTCTGAATATTAATGGGTGCGTTGAGAAAACTTTTTCCAAGAGGAATACATTTTCCGAGTCCCTACGAAACCGGACAGTCTGACAAATTGGAATTTCGAGAAATATTCTAAATAGCACCAACTCTTTATCTGCTTGTCCGCTGTACAGTGTCCTTGTCCCAAGTGAAGAACAAGCACACGGATGAAAGCTGGGAGGAAGTTATTAATGTTTTGTGCAATTTTATTTTTAATTGACGGCGTAAGGAGAAACAGGCCTGACAAACAGCACGAACGCGTCCTTGAAACTTAGCGAGTAAGCAATAATCATTTCCTGGAGACACTTATTGGTTTACCTTTGGCCAATAGATTTGAACGTAGCCAAACGTACCTGCTGAGTATTTATCAAAGCGTTGCGCAACCGTTCGTTAATTACATACAGCATAATTACTCGTAGATTATTACAGTAATGACTATTATTAATTGTAATGGCATCATTTAAAAATAGTCAACATACGATAACAGTTCAAATACACATACTAGTCAATCAATTCACTGTCGTTTCACCCACACTAAATCTCATTATCGACGGCATTAATGACATATCCGAGCAAACCTACTACGTCGGTCTGACCTTTTTTTCAGTTTAAATTTAATAACAATAATATCTCATATTTTAATCTTACATTTACAGTGCTATCTGTCATTATGCTTCCGCGATAAATTTAGGCGTTTTAACTTCGCTACACGAACCATATCTGCGCCCGACAGCCCTGACCTTTTTCAACTATAAATTTACGCCGGCACGTGGTAATCTCCTTACACACAAATCCAACGTCAATTCACTTGCCTACATCCTCTCCACATTCGGCTATTGGTGAATTCGTGACGCGTTCCACCACCGCGTGTAACAGCTTGACACAAGTTGCAAATATTTAGATGATTCTTCTTTTCACTCTTTTTTGTCTTTCTTCTTACGCACCATATCACGCCATGAATTGAACGAAGGGTACTCGGACACTTTGAACTTCATACGAATCGTTAACGCTTTCTTTACTGAGGAGTAACGCTTGAATTTGTCACGTAACTTGAGACGATTTTTAATGCGAAGCTTTTATCGGGTCTTCGTAGTCTCTCTACGTTCTTAGTGTTTATCTGTTGTGACAAAATTTTTCCTTGAATTACTGTACATACAATGTTATTAACGGTATATAATTTTATTAACGGTATATAATCGCTAATTTTCCCCGCCGTTATTCTCATGAATATTGCAATGCATGATGGTTACTTCGCTATGCTCATGTAAGTGTATGCATACGTTACACTGACGTAATATGACGCCTTGCCAATTGTTGATAAGATTGGCGCGTGCTTTGCGCATTCACGTTGCAACGAGACATAAATGTGTATAGGAATACGAAGAAGCTATAATGTCAAGGCGCTCGGTAGATTTTGTTTGTCTCTTGCGATGCCGAGATACGTGTTGCTTGATTTTACTGGTATGAATTTAAATACTATGCGAACACTCGATGGACTTTCTTTTTCTTTTATTCTTGAAAAATTTCAAATGAGACATTTCTTGGCTTTTGCCGTATAGTCGGAATCGTTAGAAAAAATTAGAGTCATTAATTGTATGCTTACAAATTGACATCCTTATTGGGTGGATTATAGGGACTTTTTTTTCTGTAATAAGAAAGCAAAATCGTCATGGTCATCGACAGTCTTCGGTAACGACAGGCGAAGGATGCGGCTGACTAGAAATTGTACTCGGTATTGCTGAGTCGTTTTTTAAAAGGATATTTGCTGTTCGCAAATGTATTAGGTACGATAAACCTAGAATATGATAACGATAATTCAACGGCGCGTTTGATGCTTAATTATGTGTAGACGCCGAGCCCGCGCGCGTGGAGACACATTATCACTTTGTTTTCTTTACCCGTGATTTTTTTACATGTCAATACCAACGATTACGCGCGGTTATCGAACTGCGGGATGGGATGACTTCTTTTCTTTTTCCCCAGGATAAGACACGAGAGTTCGAAGAACGAGAGAGGCTCGAGAAACGAAAATGGAAATAAATAGATGTACCTGAGAGCACGGATAATAATCGCTTGGCCGTGACTTAAAACTGAAATGGTTAATGAAATTTTGCGGGAAAGCAAAACTTTTTTTTTTATATACCATTTCATAAAGCGTACTACACTGAGAGAGATTAAAAGGAATTTATAAATAGACGAGCATTACGTTGGACTTGAAAAGAAAAAAAAAGTTTAATTTAATTAAAAGAGATTAAGAGGAATTTATAAGTATTCAAAATTATGTGAAATTTTAAAAGAAAAAAATTTATTACCTTTACTTCTATAAATATCTGTTCCTTTCATCTTGGCCTTTCCTTTTTATTCTTTCGATGCTTCTCGGTATCGAAATAATCTTATCGCTTTTAAACCGTGAAAATATAGTCACGCACTAATTTACAAGTGAGCCAAAATTCTCAGGACGGTCATTTCGTCTCGGTTATTGAAATTTATATTTTTACGTATCCATCAAGGCGTCAATAATTTTCAATAGTAACGAGAATAACGGGCAAAGGTAAAAATACAAGGATTGTCCTTCGGTTTATGTTTATACTTAGTTATTTGTAACGAAATGGAAAAGATGTAACGAAATAGTTCAATAAAGAGGAATTCACCAGGAAGCATAATATCAAAGGGAATGTAGGTCATAGTGTTACGTGTTACATCGTTAAATACGTTGCACGCGTGAAAACAGAAAACTTGGGGTGCATGCACGCACATACGCATCCATAATACATATGTGTACCATATACAATGGCGAGTGTGTATATATATATATATACACAACGACTGTTTTATGGTGTACACAAAGCATTCGTATGTCGTGAGTTTATCTACTCTTGTCCATATAAAACATACCAAGGTACACAATTGTGTTAGATACACGAAAGCTAGCCCACGGGAATCTCACGGGATCTTTTTAAATTTAAAAGAAAAAAGAAAATATGGAATATTTCCAGTCCCAGGAGCAATCAGATAGTGTAAACTACAAACAGCAATTGCGATAAAAATTCATATGATAACAATAATTATTTTTCATATAAAATGTAGTAATTTCAAAATTTTGCCATAAACTCCAAGCGGACGTGGATGGTTTGTTTTTACTTATTAGAAAGTAAAATAATTTTCTGACTACGATTTGAATTTTTTTTTTTTTTTTGGAGGATTTACATATTTTGATTTTGGATCCAAAAGAGTTCATATATACGTCCGTGAAAAATTTCGTACCGTAGCATGCTTACGAAATATATACAATGTATATATTATATACTTATCTATACAGTGACAAGATCCATTTAATTTTAAGTGATTTCTAGCTAAGTTGAGAAGAGATTTTGAAAAGGTTCGAAAAGGTGCTAGAAAATGGTTTGGTTAAGGTCGCTGACCGAGTAGGTACCACGTGCAACAGTTCGTATGCCATTCCCTGCAGCACACCAAGGCCGTGCGGTGAGAGACTAATGCACCGCCAGCTTTCTCTTCTTTCTCCGAGTCATCCGTGCCAGGTTACGTAACGCGGAGATGTGGAATGGCCCTTAGAAAAGAAGTAAAAAAAAAAAAAACGAAAAAGAAAAAAAAACGTAATGTACCTTGGGCGCCTTTCTTTATCTTAGAAAATTTACACCACGCAACGCATTCATCAAGACACGGTATCCATTCGCATCGAAAAATAATTTATCCTTTCGACAAATACCCAAATGAACTTTTCATAGCATTGTAAAAAATTGGACAACGGCATGTGTTTCGGTGAAATTTGGCCAAAGCCCAAACGCTTGTATCGTTAATAATAATTATTTAGATTCATGAGAAACGTCTTGGAGTCCCTTTAAATTCGATTAGAAAATTTATCTGTTATCGTTAGGCTACCGAATTGATATTTTCTTGGATAGATTCTTGTATGAACGTAGTTCTACCGATAAGCTCGTCTATAATTTATTGTTACTGTTTTTTTTTTTGTTAAAAGTTTGTTTCCTCTTATCATCAAGCACTTTATCTATAAGAGTGCCACATTGGCTTGTGTCATTCATCGAACGTATCGTAGGCACTGTTTGTTATTTACATGGGCAGCGTACGTGATGTAGTTATCTTCTATCGGGTTATCATCGCAAATACATGCGTTCGATTTGTTTGAAATGTCGTGGGCCGAGGTCGGAGAGTATAGACCTACGAGGATGTCATGTCAGGAGTTGAATAGTAAACAGAGTGACCTATCTGAACCACATACGAAAATCTATACCCGGTACAAAGTACTTCAATTTTATTTTATTTTATTCTTATCTACGTGGATCGTGTTCGATATGAAGTTTTGACGTCACTTCCTTTGTTCTACTTTCATGAAAAAAATGGGATACACCTATACTCTTGGATTCTTCAGTCCACACGTGCTGTACAGGTTGCACCAATCCAAATGCATACGCATGTATGCTTTCGGATGTTGAACTTCCTGGGAGAAAGTTAGTGAGTACTGTAATGAAGTGTTTGCATTTTTAAGGTGTCATTGGATACTTGGAAGATATAGTGATAACGAAGTGACAAATAAAGAGCTGTAAAATCGCAAAGGATACATCACGGAAATGATATGTAGAATGTGTAATTTTATGTTGATAGAAATCGTATTAAAACTTTGTCAATGGTTGTATAGTGAGGTTGCTCGTGGATCAACGGAGAATACCTAGGGGAAAGGATGTGAGAGAGTCATCGAGAAGCAGTTTAAGTAAGGCAGTCATGGCGGATGCACAAAAGAAATTTAAAAAGAAATAGAGGACTCTGGGATGTTGTAACACCTTCGGAGTAATGTGTATAGCTAGGCATGCGTTGTATCTTAATGCTACAAGAGTTGCGTAACGAAGCCAACGAAGCTGCTTCTCTACCATCCACAACAATCTTGTCGCAACCCAGGATCCGGTAGGGTCTATTATTGATCGTTGCTGTTGCTTAAGTCAATGAACTTCCACGTGCAGCTTGACGAAATAACCCCCCTCCCCCCCCACATCCTTGTAGCAGCAACCGATTCCATCTTGGCCCCTGCCGTATACTATTTATTCGTCCTCCATTTCACTCCCGGTGGCTCCTTTCTTTTTCATTTCATTCACTCACGTACAGAACAATTTCCTAGTTTCTCGTTGCTTATTAATTACATTTATTCTGGACCCTGCGCGATCCATTGGCCGAATAAATCCTTCGTTAAGAATATAGGATGATATGTTTCCTTCCATGGCTTTGAACTACTTTAGGTTGTCCAATTCAGTACAGATTTTGAACTGAATATACCTTGTATCGAAAACTCGACATTATTTATATAGAATATCTCGGAATATTCATATTGAAAAATAGTATGTCTTTAACATAGATTTGTCAATCAAGTTGTTTGTTTGTATCTGATTTTGTTGATTCAAGCATTTAACGCTCGGGTAAGGATGCGAGATGTGCTTTAATTTATTTATACCTATATAGAGTCATCTAGCAGTAATATTTGTACGATAACTGACACGACTCTGCCGATAATGCTATATAAAATGAATTTTCATCATCTGACAGGATATGCTGTAATCTGCTTTATCAGCAAATGGTAAAAGCTCTTTTGTGTTCTTCAAATATTTAAAGTTTTTACGTTGCTGTGCGCAATTTTCATTCGCGATATTTTCATTGTTATAACGTCACTTTATTGCTATGTCGTTAAATTGCGATATTTCCGTTGTTTAACTCGTTTAAAATTATGATCCGTTTGTCAATCATATAATATACATATTTCATGAAACATCTTTTCGCTTGTCTTCCTATATGTTTGTATTCTATGGCTGATTGCAAATACAGCACTTCATAATAATAACGGAAATGAGTTCGTATTTGAGAATTCTTGAAAGTAAATAGGTTCACAGAGGACAGTATATTCTTGAGAGATATATCATATATCCAACACAATGTAAATTGCATTAAACGTTAAATGAATGTGAAATCCCTAAATACTCCCTAATTAATGTCCTCCATGTATCTATAAAAGTCTGTAGTCGTTTAATACGGATCTCATTGATGGCGCTTTTGTACATCTCTGCATAATGACAACAAAATGAAATGTCAGATAAAACAGTCTTATGACAGATTATATTATCTCGTTGAATTGTTCTTGCACTTGTCTAACTCTTTATCGCACATCTGGAAATTACTCATTTTCACTTATATAGGTTTTCAAGCAAGACGAAAGTCTTTTTTTTAATCAGAAAATCGTACTTTTGTTGGAATAGTATAAAACCAGTTTATATATGCAATTGTTTAATTGGAGGTATAATTTATTTATCAATAGCTTTATTTTTTGTGTAGATCCTAGGCAGATTATTCACATATGTAGTGAGAGTTATCATTTCTACATTGGAGAAGTAGATTGGGATTAGATTCTAGTACTGTGTTCATCGTTAATCATAGACAAAATGCATGGAATTAAAAGAGTAATAATTTTCTGTGCACTCACTACTCTCTTGCCAACAGTTTTACTTGTTCTTCCACTGTATCTACGTCATAGTCTCTATGCTAGAGTGGTTTATGCTGTGACAGAATCTGATATACTTGAAATCAACGATGGTGTGTCAACTATATTTTGTTCTGTAAGATTTTGATGAATTAATATTAAGTTTTCTAACGTAAGAAGAACCAAAAATAGTATCTTAACACAATACAAGATTGGCTTTCACTTAATTTATGTTTTTATAAGCTTTCATTGAATTGAAAACAATTCTTTGATATTAGGAACATACTCTAGAAATGAATGGAACATTTAATGCATTCCAAATGGCAAATAAACCAGATATAACATCTTACCGGAAACATATAAGACTGAAGAAAGGCATGATTTTGCCGGATGATACTTTGGAATATTGGGGATTTTATCTTCTCAAAGGAGCTACTGTTGGATTATCAGTTTGCTCCAGGTGAGTTGTATTGATGAATTCTTATTTTTATTAATCATTGTGCTAATGTCAATTTTTTCAGATTTCAGGGTGCTTCGATACTTGTGGTAAAGGGAGAACGCAACTTGCGTACTTGTGGTCTCTTAGACCATAATAAGAATAAAGTTCCTGCCACTGATATTTATTTACCAGAAGCACAACGACAAGTTAAAGTGACTTTTGAAAGCAATGCTCAAATAATTCATTCTCAAGAGGGGCCTAATATTCGCAATGACGTATTACATAGAAAAGCTATAAATAAGGCTGTGAATGAATACACCTCTTCTACTAACACTGAAAATATTCCCATAACAAGTACTAATATTGATGATACCACAACTCAAGATAGTGTTATAACTAATATTGAACAAGTGTCTGAAAAAGATGATAAAAAGGAGGATATTAAATTAGATAATTTATTTCGTACAGCCAAACTTTATGTGCAGAAACATATAGATATGGAAGATTCCAAAAAACAGAATAAAACAAGAAAATTGAGGCACTCGAAGAAGCGTTTACACAAAATGGAAATTGAGAAGAACAAAAAGGAAAAAGAGGAAGAGATGTATGAGAAGAAAATGCGAAATATGCTGCATCATGAACAGGAAAACATTGACATGAAGGGCATAAAGAAGAAGAGAAGCATCCAGAGACAAGACTTCGTGGACCCACCCTATTTTGAGTCTCGCGAAATTCTCATTAGGCGTCTTAGCGCCCAATTCAATTCAAACGAAGAGAACAGTGGCGGTGAAGAAGAGGACGAAGAAAGTATCAGAATAAAGCGGAGCAAAGAGACAGTAAATTCACCGCCTCTTCTCTATCACGGCATAAAGCATGGAGGGAATAATGCAGCTAAAAATATTTCCGATCTATACGAAGAATCATCAGTCTCGAGTTTCGAAAATGGACTACTGAATTGTTACGAAGGTCAGGTACTGCTTGCACGTGAATTTGAGCCATCTGAATTTTGCACTAATGTGGATTATCTGATGACTGGAAAGCATATGCAAGCAAGACATAACGTTACCGAGGATGGCTACTACTATTATATATTTTACAGCGACAATGATTTTGTCTTTAATGATATTTATACCGTTTTTGATATTTATAAACCAACTTTTCAATATGAAAATGTAACAAAATCTTGCCTCAATAGTACAGAATGTTCATTCTCGTTGAATTTATTATCGTCTGATAGAGTTATTGTCGAAATACCAACCAGAGATGGTATAGATCTTGATGAAAGTGATGTTACGTTACTTATTTCGACATGTTATCCGCGTATGGGCATATACATTATATTCCCCATTTCTGTATTATTTTTCGTTTTAGGTTGTGCCTTTCTCTGATATATGATGTCGCTTGTATATAATGAAACTTATTTGTAGGCAGTTCATTATTATCTAAATTTCAATAGATTCCATTTTACCTTCATTTACTAAACGCAGAGTAACAGGCATATGCATAACAGTAATGTTACGATTTCTTATTAGGGATATAATAGTTATGTATGTCAGATCTTGTATGAATTATTATATGTCAAAGTAAGAAATTTTAACATTGCCAATGTCTATTACTTTGTGTTTACTTAGGGCATATTCCATAATTGAACCACGGTTGCGGTTATTACATTTCGGCCAATGACCTCGATTGATTTTTATCACCAGTTGAAATCAATCGATACAATTGGCTGAAATTTAATAATCGCAACCGTGGTTTCACTACGGAGCCCTAATTAAAGGGCTCCGTAAATTGAGGACGATACTAATGCCCTTAGTATCGTCCTCAATCTCATGCTAATATATACTTACAAGTTCATAAATGGTTGCAATATTAATAATAATACGTATATTCTAACTGTATATAGATATATAGTGGATGATTCAACTGCAACATCAGTTTCATATTTTTGGGACTCTTTTGTACTGTAAACTACAAAATGGCTCTTAGCAATCTAACTGATTTCGTAACTGAACCATAATTTTATAATATACATATATGTATATGTACATACAAAAGACAACTATATATATTTTTTATATACGAATATCCTATATGTTGTTATTTGTAATTAATGTACTTTTCCAGTATTGCATAGTGTATGTTTTCGCACAAAAGCATAAATAGTTTTTAAGGTTTAGTTTTAGTGGCATTTTGGGTTACCTCAGCTTCATAAAATCGTAATTGTTCAGCGTTGTTCCAGGTATATATGATATGAAATCAATGTAAGGTCCTGTTAATCCTTCCGCCATTAAATGAACAATAGTCGGAGCTCCACATCAACCTTAGCAATTTCGCATAATACCAGGTCACTCTGACCACTTTATTATTGCCGATTGTTAAAATAATTTTGTAAAAATCATTGTCACGTAGTATATTTAGTGAGAATTAGAAATAAGTAATTCTTCGAAATTCGCCAACTATACGAATTTTAAATGTGGATGACAATTTTCAAATTTAATCACGAGCTTTACAACAGTAAGGGGTTAAGTTTCTATTGAAAATTGACGTTCAAATGTTCGGCGTGAGCCAAATATGCTATAAACAAAATGGCATCTGTTGCCAAAGGCTTCCATGCCCATCTTGTCCTACGGGAATTATTCCAATTGGAATTTCGTAATAAATAAATAATATTTCTATTGAAAAAGTAAGTCTTTGCAATTATCCAGAAAAATATTTATGATATCACGCATTTAATATAAAGTTCATTAATTTTGTTAAGTATCGCGTATAGATTCAGTGATCAAATCAAAATCATCGAGAAACGTTAACCCAAGATATAACCCGCCATGTGTAGTTCAACTTAAATCAATCAAGGGATAGAACAATTAACACTATGTCTCATTCATAATTGTGCCGTGAAAGTGCGACCAGGAGTTATTAGGGAAATTCACAGTTTAACCAATTACTGATTAATTGGGTACTTCAGGTCAAGAGGAAATTTCAAAGGATAAAAGGTCTTACCAATTTCACCCAACAAGGTTCAGGTAGACTTTTAATACTTGCCGGCTTTCCCGCCATATCCCCCACCATCGTTTCAGCAAAGTATTCTGGGTAATAAACGCAGCTGCCCCCTCTGCGCAATAACTGCAGTAGCGAATAAATCGCTTTAAAAATTGTAAAATTCCGTCAGAAACCGTTTAGAACTCGTCGGAGTTGTCCCAAACGCGTCTCAACAATTGTCCTGTGTTCATATAACGTTATTTTTAGAGTGTTAAAGACGAAACCACCGTGTGTGCCTGCAGCGCCATAGTGCGGCGTACGCAAGAATATTCCTCGTGACGCAATAGGAATTCGTCCTTTCCGTCGCGCTACCGTGAGTGGAACATGTCGTATACGTCTGAACGAAGGTAAGTTCCGTTTTTACTCCGTATTCTGGTTACTCCAAGTAAATTCCGCCTGTTTTAATACCATCTACTTTGCGTTTCCCGTGGTCCTCTTCAATTGTGAAAATTCGAGTGTGGCCGGTACGCGTTATATATTCGAAAAATCCTGCCGCGATTGTGAATGCATGGGTACAAGTTGACAACATGGCGTGCGCTCAAACTTTTTGTCACATTGTTGAAGTAGCTGTCGGATAATCACAGCGTCCTATGATACATGCTTTATTAATGATTTTCAACGGAAGTTGGCGAAGGAAATAGAAATAGAAGTGAACCATAATTTTGTATCTAGTGTGTACTAGATTGTTTTTTTCCTTGCATTCGACAGAATGGCGCGTTGCTTTTACTATACACGCGAAAAATTCTCTCCGGTGCGTGAAGCTAGTAGAGTATGTTTTCTTTCTCGTACGAAATTACGTAATAACGTGGCTTTTCGAAATATCATAGAGCCGATAAGATTCCAATTTTTTTTTGCGGATTGCGTTTTTGTTATTTCTTTACTAGTACCGGCATTCGATTATTTTTTATTTTATACCCACTGCACGCAGCGATGAGATTCCCTCGTTCTCTTGTTCAGCCATGCTTTCGCGTGAGTCACTGTCAATGTAGCCATCAAAAGTTTCAGAATGATTTTGCTGTCTGTTTTACATAAAAATTATTCTAGTTGGAAATATTACCTAATTTCTTTATCATTACTTTATTCGATACATTTTTTATCTTTGTAATTAACCAGTTTCTCGCGCGTTATTATGGGACATTTTTGGAGTCTTTTGTTGTTGTAACGCAAAACGGTCATAATATATATATGAATTGTGGCTATAGAAATTATCTTTGTTGTCGATAACAAATTTCTTACTCATTTCGTTTAGTTTGAAGGTCATTTTAGGCAGTGAATAATAATGGGGGATATATAGATACTTAATTGAAAGTGCAATCTGTAAATGACTTTTTTTTCTCTTTGTTGTGTCGACCCAAGGTTTTGGATTCTGGTATTATAAAAATAAATTTTGCTTTGTTCTCGATTGAAGATTTTAGTACAAATATTTTATATGGTAAATTTTTAGCCTTTAAGATTGTCAATATTTTGTTAACAGAAAATATTTATGTAGTGCTCGATTGTCAATGAAATTATCTGGCCAGTGTTAACTATTATTGGACCTTAGCTTGAAAGCTTTTTCAATAATCACTAGGAAAGGGGTGTATTATATATTAGCTATTTTACATGTGTTTGAACATAGTTATTTTGATATCATAGGTCATAGTTCATAGGTCAAGATTCCTAAAATATATTACTATACACATCATGTTTGGATGCTGTACATTAATTTTTCTTGTTTTTATATTTTGTTTAAGGAACCAAATACAATGCACAGATCAGCAATCGTTAATGTATAAGCATATTTTGATTGTTACCCAGTAACTGATATGAATCATCCTTATGTTTTCATTTGTTATGTTTCTAGAAATGATGAGCAATGGTCGGGCGACTCTAAAAATGGTCCGAGTGAAGGTGAACAGCCTGCCTATGAAGGACCTCCAGGGATGGACCCTGAGGGTGTCATCGAGTCCAACTGGGATCAAGTGAGTCATTGTATAATGATGATTTCGAGTTTAAACGTAATTACCTCTTGGAAGCATCTTATAATATAATTGTTATTGTGGTGCTGCAGGTCGTCGACAACTTCGATGATATGGACTTAAAAGAAGAGCTGCTACGTGGTATTTATGCTTATGGTTTTGAAAAGCCATCTGCTATTCAGCAGCGTGCCATCTTGCCCTGTGTCAAGGGGCACGACGTCATTGCTCAGGCACAATCAGGAACTGGTAAAACAGCCACATTCTCAATTTCCATTCTTCAACAAATCGATACTAGTATCCCAGAGTGTCAGGCTTTGATCCTAGCTCCTACTCGTGAGCTCGCGCAACAGGTTAGCATTCATCACACGATATATCTTCATCATCCAGCGAATAAGTAAAATACTGTTCTAACACCTAATCTTTTGCTTTATATTTTAAATTTAGATCCAGAAGGTGGTGATCGCCCTGGGAGATTTTATGCACGCGCAATGCCATGCATGCATTGGTGGCACAAATGTGCGAGATGATATGCGCAAGTTGGACCAGGGCGTCCACGTTGTGGTCGGCACACCCGGCCGAGTCTACGACATGATCAGTCGACGGGCGTTACGAGCTGATACTATCAAGCTCTTCGTGCTCGACGAGGCCGACGAGATGCTGTCTCGTGGTTTCAAGGATCAGATTCACGACGTATTCAAATTGTTGCCCCATGAAGTCCAGGTAAATAAATGTGATAAAAAATATATATTAAGGATATTGATATATAGTTTTTTATTGTCCATGGAGCAGTGGTAATAAAAAATAATTTAAGCGTAAGTTTTATTCGAATATATCGGCATGTATATATGTTTGTCTTTTTTATTTTTAGGTTATACTTTTGTCAGCTACGATGCCCGCGGATGTGCTGGACGTATCCACGCGCTTTATGCGCAAACCGATTCGCATTTTGGTGAAGAAAGAGGAGCTGACCCTGGAAGGTATCAAGCAATTCTTCATCTACGTCGAACGTGAAGATTGGAAGCTAGAGACACTCTGTGATCTCTACGATACCTTGAGTATCACTCAGGCTGTAATCTTTTGCAACACACGACGCAAGGTCGATTGGCTTACCGATAACATGCAGAGCCGCGACTTTACTGTCTCCGCGATGCACGGTGACATGGAACAAAAAGAGCGTGACCTCATCATGAGGCAATTCCGTACGGGTTCATCCCGTGTCCTTATCACTACGGATCTCCTTGCTCGTGGTATAGATGTGCAGCAGGTGTCCCTGGTCATTAACTACGATTTACCATCAAATCGTGAGAACTACATTCACAGGTATGTGTCTAAGGATCCAAAGATCAAATTATAGTGTCAAAACATTTAGATTTCAGACTTTGTTAATTGTCTAATTCTTTGAATTATTCGGGGGTATATATGGTATGTCTTTACATTACAGAATTGGTCGCGGTGGCCGTTTCGGTCGTAAGGGAGTTGCTATAAACTTTGTAACAGCTGATGATAAGCGGATCTTGAAGGATATTGAGCAATTCTACAACACTCATATCGATGAGATGCCAATGAACGTCGCAGATTTGATCTAAGTCCGCATTAGCACTTAGCAATGTGCGCTAGCCTAATACAACACAATAATAAAGGCATATAAACAAATTGAGTGCAGACGTTCGATAAAATTCAATTGGTTTTAAGAGAAAATGCAAAGAGAAGAACTTCATTAATTTTTATTCGGTTGTCTCCAAAAGGCGCCTTCAAGTGGAAATTTTCCGGAACTGAAAGTGGTTCTTACAAGGACCTCTTGCAACAATTTGCATCGCTCAACGAACTTCCAGAGCTACGTTAAGATATCATTATATAGGAAGGAAAACTAAATGGAACTGTGACATATTTCTGGGAGCTTTCCCTTTTCATTAATCATGAATTATTTTTTATATTAGCTGAAGTACCGCCTCTAGGAGTTATTGGCTATAATTTATTGTAATAAAGGAAAATAATAACTAATAAAAATAGAAAAGGTGAGTGGCGCTTAACAAACTCTTGATCTAATCTTTGACAATGTTTCATCTCATGAATCTTATCGCTGAAACAAGCGAGAGCGAAACAGCTATATACCATGTTTATAAAATTCATATTAAAGGTATTACAGATCAGGATAGTATAAGAGATTATATCAACAGCGCATTAAGTGTCACTGTTTTAAGATTTTCTTTAATTTCCTTTATTATAAGAAATTATAATATGACTCCGTCAGTCGATATTTCGTCGAATCCAATTAAAAGAACAGACCATTTTGCATTTACTCCAAGGGGATTTTCGTGCACTGTAACGTCTCGACAGGTAGTTTCAAGACATTCCGCTTGGCGGCGCTTTTTCGAGATCAATGAACAAAAATTAATTGTCTATTCGCATTTATCTCTTGCAATCAAGTCAATTTCATTGGCTTTTTTTTGTTACATTTCTTTTTAACCATTTGTTATTGTATTGTATGTTGCATTAGGGAAACGCACATTGGTAAATAAATGTATTTCTTGTCTATGAATTAATAAGAATTGAATTACCTACTCCAATTATTTTTTCTTTTAAGCCGTGCATCATAATGAATTTTATATATTTTCTTTTCTGTACAATTTCTACTACAAAGCGTTAATCTATGGTAGTCGCCTGTTTATCGAGTAGGCATTGATACAAATATATTAGGCGAAGAAATTCTCCATTAAAATAGATTGTGGCGTTATATATGAAACCCACATACTAAGAACCAATAATGCTAGTTGAAAGTCGACGAGTGGATTAAAAGAGCACCATGGGGGCGTTGCAATTCACAAGGTGGGAGACGATACCCGGATTATATATCTGAACATGTACTTGATCGGATGACCACAGTGCACTAAGAAATTGCTTGGCTATAGTTTCATTAATAGTAATCAACTTTTGAGCCTTTAATTTAATTATCAATAAGTATGTGAGTAACGTAATCGAAATTTCTGGAAAATCGATAATGTAACTTTGGAAAACGAAAATTGCATTTCGTTTTACTTATTTTAAGTGTTTGGCAAGTGCATTGATAATGATCATGCGGAAAAATGAATCAGTTTCTTTATTTTTATCAGAATAACATTTTTTTACTGTTATTTTCTTATCGACCGTGTATATTGTTATTTTCCAATCAAGTAACCACAGAGTTCATTGAAAATTGCATATGAGGAACTACTTGATTACATTGTTGCTCGACAATAATTCGTACTAATAGACATTGTGTTCTTTTTCAAAATTCATCAGTTCATTCTTAAACAAAAAAATGGCGTTATTGTTTCGCGTGTTTTCGATTCTCCCTTTGCTCTACTCAGTAACATCGCTGGAATTAGAAAATTTGTCAATAGCAAACGCAACCGATTATCCCATTTACTTTCCCGAGGAAAAGAGCCATATCCTGGAAATTCAAACTGACACGAAACAGTATTTTTCCAAAAAAGAAAGAGCGGTGCTCTCGTTCAAAAACAAGAATTCAAATATATCGAAAACCATCAGTAACAACGATTTGTACGACGCAATCGATTTAGATAAATTATTAGAAATTTGGGATCCAAAATCGATCGAGACCATTTCGCCAAACAAATGGGAGAGTCTGGAAATATCGGAAAAGTGCCGAGCGGAAGTATCGCTCTACGCGAGAAGTGCATCGCGCGGTGAGAATTGGGCTTTGAAAAGTAAGTAAAAATATATATAATACAACTGCGCCCTTTCGAAAGTGCATTCCATTGAAAATTACATATAAATATATGCTCATAAATATAGTATGCATTGCATATAAACCCACGAACCATTGTTATCGCCGTCATATAACAAGGAAGTATCTGGCCAACGGCTGAAAGTCGCAAAAGTTGCAAACTCGCCCAAGACCGGTCGCTGATCAACGGCGGCGTAAACTTTCTTTCGGCGCAGGTTGCCGCTGGTGTTCTCAGTATCGCTTTAAGGAAATCGTTGTCAATTCAAAAATATTTTATTGTATTATCCAACAAGACATTTTTTTTATTAAGGAAAGAATTAACGTATTACGCACTCTACACGTTGATCATTAAGCGCTATGAAAATAACCTTATCAAATATTTATACGAGTTTGGAGCCTCTGGAAATCAGCCTTATACAATCGAAGTGGTAAAAAGCGTAACATAGACACTGTCTTCTGCAACTAGTATGTACGTATATTGCATAAGTGTACGTAAGCTGGAATTACTTTCTTTTGGTAAATCATTTTGAAAATAACGAACAGCACGTAAGTGCATCAACTCTCGAGTGCATTCTATTATATTATATGTATATGTACGCACATGTTATTAGATGTTCATCACGTACGACAGTATGCACTTATAGACGCAAGTAGATATAACGATTTCGATGCAGGTAAAAGTAAATGAGATTAAACACGCGATGAAAGAGATGGATTTTAGTGTAATTATGTGAGAGAAGAAAGTGAGAGAGAAATTTTTGATTCGATCCTGACGTCATTGTTTTACTCAACAATTATATTTAATTCGATTTGTTATCTATTTTACTTATAAATTTTATTATTGGCCCAGTGCGATTTGAGAGCCGCGGTCGCGAAATGTTTCCTGTAGAAAGTGAGAAAGTGCTGAGCTCCTTTAGTGCAATATAGGATAGTCGTGGTTAGTTTCCTTGCAATGTTCGTCGAGTGGATGTATATGCACTTATTGCGCAACGCCTGGTTGCATTTATGAGGTGCACTTTATTGCACTTCCGAATTAATTGATATGCAACTTTATGTGGATTTGAGTTGGTATTATGCGTACATATACATTATATTTACATTCTGTTTTGTATGTTCTTTTTAGTGATCGATGCTAGCGGTAAGCACACGTGGGGATTATTTTTGGGAAGTGAATACTGGGTCGGGGCACCGGATTTGTGTCGTGAAATGCAACAGGGTTATTTGGATTTGATTTCCAACAATTTTATGAATAACAATGATACCATGGATTTACCACCATACGAGGTCAATGTGAATTCCGTTAGTTTGACTTTGACCATTCAAAAATATGGGATCAATGGCGTTAGTACTTTTATTTAACAAGGAAAATTTGACAATTTTGTAATTATACAATTTTTTTAATTTCAATACAACGTGTTTTAGACTCACAATATCACGCTTGGTCTATGCTTACCGTCCAGTTGTACTGTGCAGGATGTTATGAGAATTTTGATGATCTTCGATAAGGAAAATGCCAATCAAATTCCTCGAAAAATTACTTTCAATCACGTTCGTAATCTCTCGCAGGGATATTCAGTTTGGAATGATAAGACATTTTATATTTTATTGTAAGTCATCGATATATGTTTCTTTTTATATTCTCCTTTTGGATATCTCATATCTTATTTTTCTATTCAGAGTTGTGTCTGCTTTCGTTATACTTTTTGTCATTTTTGGAACCTTATACGACATCACTTTGAGGTATCGAGTTTTAAGGGCCGACGAAGAGAGAAAGAGGAATAATACTGTTTTAACGGAATTGAAAATTTTACGGCCAGGTGTTGATTTCAAAGAAGAAATTACTATTTCGAAATTGTGGTCGGTAAAGACTCATAATGGTTCTTTAAGTAAGTAAGCGCAGATTTGACAATTGAAAATCGAGATCTACATTTCCAACAAAAAATGACAAAAATTATGTTTAAATTAGGATACTTCAAAATTATTCTTATTTCACCAATTTTTCATAATTATTAGATGTATGCAATTCAAAGGACGTACCTAAACCATTGTCAGAAGCATTACTGTCATTCAGCCTGTTGCTCAATCTGTCAAAACTTGGCAGTCTGGATGTTGGCAACGACACATTGGCACCGATACACGGATTACGCTTCGTCTCATTATTGTGGGTTATTATGGTACATACTTGCCTATTAGCAAATGAGGTCTCGGGTAAGTGTGTCAATAACTTATATGCAGACTTACTCGGTAGAAACGCAATACCCTGAAGTTAGCGCGCCCATTTGAGTCTTATGGTAAAACTATGTTCAGTTGGTGCGTTTGGGCTAAATCACCTGGTATACATATCTACCATACTTTGACGTTTGAGAAATCCCAAAAATTAATAATACCCTACTTAAAATTTCAGACAACAAAGTGTTCAGACGCAGAGCCGAGGATGACTTTCTTTACCAGACAATCAGCAATGGCACCTACGCAGTGGATACGTTTTTCTTTATGAGGTTATAGGTTATGTTTGAAGAAATAAAAAATAATCACTCTTTTGCGAAAGCACAGTGGAATTTTTTCTTATACGTAATATTGTTTCTGCTTAGTGGATGTCTAGTTTCCTTCCTGTACTTTCGCACGATAGCCAAGCAGAGAATCCGCGAGATGAAAATAACACAGGGCTGTCTAGGGCAATTTCTACAATTTCTTGGAATGATGTGGTATAGATATTTCCGCTTAACACCACCATATCTTCTTGTTATTGGATTGATACAAGTTTCCATGAAATGGTATCACGATCATTCGATGATCGAACTGCCTGCCTTGGATCACGTGACATGTGAAAAATATTGGTGGCGAAATGCCTTGTATATCAATACCTATTTCGATATGGATGACAGAGTGAGATGAGTTTTGAAATCGAAATTTGAAAAAAATATATATAAATCATGAATCATGGGTACTCATGATTTTTACTTTTCATTATTACAGTGTATGGTTTGGAGTTGGTATTTGGCGAATGACACGCAATTCTATACCGTGGGAATAATTTTATTGATAATTGCAGCAAAGTAAGTGAACCATACGCAATTCAAATTTGACTTAGGTTGCTGTCCCGTGTATAGAAGACAGAACAGGAACGACGAAATCGGAAAAATAGTTTGGTTCTTGTTGACCAATCATCTTCGTTCCGAAAATGTTAAGCGATGCCGGGTTCCCCATGTACCATATTTTTCAGAAAACGGGCAGACATTCTAACCTCAAAACTTTGATAAATTTTACAAATTTCAAATCTTCGCATTTCAATCTGAACAATCTTATAGATAATTAATATTTAATGATTTTTCGAATAATATGTGTCATCATTATTGATTTTAATGAACGAAAAATAATTTTTACACTTTTCAAATTTTTGTTTATTCTTCTACATGGGGAACCCGGGCATCGTTTCACATTTTCGAAATGAAGATGATCGGTCAACCCCCATCAAACTATTTTTCCGATTCCGTCGTTCCTGGTCTGTCTTCTATACATTCGACTGCATCCTTAGTAACATTTTTATGAACATTTTTTTTACAGCCTTCTGCCAGTGGGAGCTGTTATTGCTGGCGTATTTTTAATTGTCTCCTGGATCGTAACAGCCCTCGTTACTTTACATGCAAAACACACACCGACGTAAGTATTGTCACGTGTATAAATGACAAAAAATAATTAATCCAAATAAAAATATTATAATTAATTTTTTTAATTTTTAGCATTCAAGACCCCTTTGCTCATTACGAGAGTCTATACGATAAGCCTTGGACTCGAATAGGACCATACTTAATAGGGATGGCGGCAGGGTGGTTCCTCTTTAAAATAAATTGTAAAATAAATATGAACAAGGTAAACAGAAATAATAAGTCAAAGTGCACTAGGATCATTGTAATAATAAATTTGTATAATTAATAGGCAATTATTGTATCTGGCTGGACATTATCTATAGCAACCATGCTTAGTATTGTTTATGGGCTGTATGGTAATATGTTCGGGCCCACGTTATCGGTAATGTATACAGCATTGTCACATTCTGGTTGGGCCTTGTGCGTATCCTGGGTCCTAATAGCATGCGTGACTGGCAACGGAGGTTCGTCTTTTATATATCTCAGTTATAATTTATTTTAAATGCATAACTCAGCTAATTATTTAATTGAATATTTTAATCGAATAATTATTTATTTCAGGTATTGTCAATACATTTTTATCCTGGAAATACATATATCCAATATCCAGACTGACTTATTGCGCTTATCTGGTACATCCAGCATTAATGAGAGCTATGATACTAAGAGGTGAAAGTTCGTTTCATCTGACACGTGGTTTAGTGGTAATAATTATTTTTACATACTATTTCATTTATTCATTATAAACGTCATTGACTCTGCCTTCGCAGTCCAGTCAAGTATAAATACTTTATTAGCTCCTGTTCAATTAATTTCCTAACGTGAATCACTACTTTACCTTTTACTTCCAGGCAATTTTATTTTTCGGAGTTACTGTATCCTCCTACGCAGTATCCCTCGTTTTAAGTTTACTCTTCGAAGCGCCTATGGTGTCGTTATTAAGGATCGTACATCCTTTAAGACAATGGAAAAGAGATTGATTGATTAATGCTAAATAATTAATATACTACACGCGTATACTTTCTTACTGAATAATTATACTAACTTACTATAAGCTTCAATTAAGATGCAAAATGGTTTTTCGATATGTGATTAATATATAGGTATACCGAATTACATTTTCTTAGATTATAAGCGGTATAGCGTGCAAGTGGTTGCATAATCTCTAGCGCATGTATATACGTATCTATGTACATAATAACTCATAAGCAGTGTCAATCACATCGTAATAAGTCTGCATAATTAGAATCACTTGACCGTGTAACTCGACTTATGAAATTTATGTAATTTTTTGTATAATTTTTTTTTAGAATTATCGTAAAAACAGAAGTGGCACTTGTCTGGGTTCGCGAATATTTTTTGGGACTTAACGTACCTGTTTACGAAAGGTAGTCACGGTGTTACGTGATTAATAATTAATTGTGCCTGTCTTCATTAAAGAATCTAATTTAAGCACGTAACTCGAAGCAGGTATTCGCTTTCATACGAATTTATATTTTGTAGACGTAGAACATCCTGCTACCCCTTCTCTCACAAAATTTCGTTTTCTCCATTACAGTATGTAATTAGTGGGTACTTTTTTGGGGACGGATGCGAAGGTAAAACGAGGTATAGAAAAAAAAAAAAAATAAAAAAATAAAAAAATAAAAAAATAGTAGAATTCCAGGAAAGACTGAAAATTTTTCGAAGACGAAGAGCTAGAAGTCATTAATCACTGGCGGTCTGACTTGTGCGAAAACGTTAATGGAATTGAAAGAGGGTTACCTAATTCAACGTAAATAAAAATGTGAATTTTGTTGATTTCGCGATGACGTTTTCTGCATTATCGTCTTTTCTTATATTTTTTTTTATGCCACCAGTCACACCTCAAACTCCGTCATCAGCGAGGACACTGACCTAATTATTTAAATATTTGAATTTATATAGAATTTGAATCTTTTTTTATTAAATAATTATTTTGACATACTTCATACAATAAGTACACACTTGATGATTTTTTACGAAATTCGTTCAAGTTATACACGGTATAATGTAGTCTAACGTAACGTGTGATTCACAGTCTTACTGCCTATTACGTTGGTTAGCCTTACGTAAAGCTTACATAAAAAATAAAAAATGATTCGTTACTAGGTGAAATGGTATTTAGTATTCTTTCGCATTTTTTTTTTAAATTTACCATGACGTCTACACCTAAGCTATTTTTTATAAGTTTTTATATGTGTACATATACCCGCTCGTATCTATGAGAAAAGATATAACCTATGGAATAAACGTTTATATCAGGTTATATATGTATGGTAATATATATCTCACAGTCAAGGGGTCCTTGCGCAATTGGAATCTCCTAGTACACTTGATATGTATCCACACGCATTTAGATAAAAATAGGAATATTTAGAAACGGAGAAAGTCTCAGGTATCATTTGTGGCTCCCAGTATAAGGCTTAGATATAAGTATTTTTTTTTTTTTAAATTTCTGTGATAGAATTTTTGTGTAGATGGTTGTGTATTGGAATGTTTCAAATAATTATGTGAATAATGGTTAATGTACAATTTATGCAGATTTTGTTATTGCTTTTTTCAACATTTAAATGTTCTAAAGTATATATTTGCTTTGTCATCAGAATTATAAATGATATAAAGATATTTTCTTATTACTATAGTAATGCGTATCCTAAATTACGTCTTATATTACTCAGATTAAGATTACTCTCGAATATTTTTTTCTATTAACATGTTTAAGTTGTGTATTTAATAATTTTTAAAAATTAACATACCAAGTTGTATTCTGCATCGTGCAATTTCATAATTTAGTTTGTTTCTCTCAGCCTTTAGTAATTCGCATCTGCATTTTATTGTTTAATATTTGTGAAAATTAGCTTTTAAAATAATAAAAAAAATATTGCCTTTGAGTTAGTCACCATAAATAATTAATTGCAATACAAAGAAACCATTAAAGATTCCAATGATGTTTACCACTTATTTTGAAAGTAGTGTGGTATAGTTTGGCTGAAGTCAAGTCAATATCTATATATAATTTGTGAAATTCCATAAAACGAATAAAAAAAATACGGAAATTGTGAATTTATACTAATAAATAGTAATTATTCTAATAAATGAATCTTAACGCTTCACGCAAAAATCGCGCGAAAGAAAGAAACGGCTGCCGCATACCTTTCGTTTAACAATAATTTCTCAATAAGTATAGTATGATAAATAATGTTCATATTTTTACAATAAACGTCTTAGATATTATATTTTCTGGTAATATATTCTAACGCATAGGTGAACTTGAAACCTTTTCCAAAATTAATGACATTTGACTAACTACAACCATTTGTCCTCTACCACCTATTTATACTCAACTTTAATAATGAATATCTGTTTAACGAGACGGTGAACAAATTTTATTTTGAGCTAGAAGACGCAGTTGATTAAGTTTTTTCGATTAGGCATTAAAAAAAGTATAGGGTTAACCTGATAGTATAATTCTACTATACTACCTTAAAGCAATACTGATTACTGGAACAACCTGTGTCTAAGACTAATTAAAAAAAAAACATGTTACAATTCATAAAATAATTAATAATAAATTTTTTAATCGAATCACAAACAATGTATCTTCACTTATTCAAATGATCTACTGTATTTCAATGTACGAGAAAGCTTTAGCAATAAGGATCATTGCGAGAGAGAAAAAAATGACAAGAAATGAAAGAAGTCTCAATTATTTGCACTAGCTTCTGGAATATCCATAACAATGATCCCGATAAACGGATAGCGCAATTTTTCAGCATGACTGCACCCCAGCCAATTATGAAGTCACTTTTTTTTCTTTTCTTTTTTTTTTTAATATCATGAAATTTTCCGTCGTTTGTGCAATGACTGTTTGAATCAATTGCACAAGTTCTAGAATGTCCCGGACTAGCATCATATTCGATGTACACATCCGATGTGTTCACAAGTGATAATCACGCGTAGTACAGTGGTAAAGATAGTTAAGACGAATGAAATTTGATCAAAAATATATTTCAAAATTCTAAAACGTAATACGAAATCGTGCAAAGAATCGCTATGGCGATTCCTTCAGATAAAAGACCGGAAGCTGACTTAACAGCCAAAGGTTGACTATCTAATTCGTGAGATGCTTGCGGGATAATATACGAAGTACTTTGCGAAAAAGATAAACAGGATATTCCCGTTTGGTTGACGCATTCAGGTCAAGTCTCTTACGCAAGGGACATACCTGCTTCTCCACACGATGACTTGCACGATTCTGATGACAGCAGTCATGTCAACTACTGACATGGAAATGGGAAAGCGAAAGATTTTCCTTAGCCTATTTTGAACGTGGTTCATATTTATATGTTATTCAACTGCGAATAGTATTATACTGTAAAATATTTTGAATGATTTATTTAGAAAAAAAAAAAATTAAATCATGATGTCCAGAAAACGCAGAATCTTCAAATGGCATGGTTGTCCATCAAACGTTCGTTGGATGTTATTTGGATGCACTGTGTTATCTATGAACAAGGGGAAAAGTGTTGTGATCTTTCGGAAGTAATTTGGAGTAAGGATATTTACTCAAATTATATTATCATTAGTGATTATTAATCGCTAGTCATTTTTTTTTAGTTATTTTTATAACTTTTTTACTAGGTTAGATTAAAGCCGAATTCTCAAATGAATTAATTGAACACATATTGACGGTAATGATTTTTTATATTCGCTAATGTATCAGAGTCTACTCATCAATTTCAATTATTTCAAAAATCCTCGCGATACATCTACGGCGCGCTTGAGAGTCAAATTTAAAATATTAAAAGAGCAGAAAGTCAATTTCGAAATTTTTTTATTTCATTCAAATTCTTCGTGATATTCAGATATGTGGTATAGAGATTCAAATAATTTTCTTAGCTATTACCATGGCGAATCGTCACTTTCGCTATCTTTTAAGGTCAAACCATGTCTCGGATCGCATTAACCAAATGAATGTGCGTGTCATCAGCGTTATTAGTAAAAGTGTGGAACAGAGCACGTAGTACATTATATCTATATATGTGTAGCAAGTCAGTGTATATATATATATATATATATATATATATATATAACGTATATACATATACATTATATATAAGAATGTGCGTATGGGACTCTTTCTTTCTCCTTCTCTTTCTCTTGCTTGGTCAGACCTGACTAGGTCCCAATGACCAGTACGATTCGTCTTCTTTCTTTACTTTCTCCCTCTCTTCCTCTCTTTCTGTAGATGGTTTTAAGTTTTCACTGTTCCCCCACCGTGTACCCGGTTTCCGCATAAGCGTGTACCTCCTCACTCTAACCGGACAGCTGAAATCATTTCTCTGCGAGCTAGTATGTCGTAGTCAATACAGTTCGTCGGTGGTTTATGAAGTCGAAGGATATCCGAAGTTCTGAAGAAAATTTGAAAAATTTAATTTTTCTATTTGGTTTTACCGTCGACTGCGGAGGCTGCGTCGCGCGTTGCGATAATCTGTGTGATGTGACGATTGAAACGGATTTCAGTAAAATACAAATTTTTGAATTGCAATTTTTCAAAGTTAATTTCAAGTTGAAAAATCGATTTTTCGAAAACCAACAACAAAAAAGGAATACAATGACATAATTATATTTTTGTTTTTGAAAAAGTTCGAAAGAAATTTCGAAAAGGTTTGATTGACATCGGATTTTTTGTCAAGTGTCAGAAAGGACAGAGGAAAACATAGTACGTGGGATTATTTTTTTTCAAAAATGTATACCGCCACCTGGATTCTTATTTTGTGGAGTTTGGTTGACGTCAATTTGGCTGATATCCAAAATGCGGATACGTTATTGGATATCGATACTGGAATATCGGAAGAGTCTCAAACTGGAGTCTATAACAGTCATCACACCAGAAGTATTCCAAAAATAAGAACTTCCGCTTCCGTTAATTGGACAACTCTACCGGAAATGTTGGACGTGTACAATTCACGAAATCTAATAGAAAATTGGGTTCGCGGAAAGTATCCAGTGGATTTGCAATGTGACAACGATATGACGCGATACGTCGAAGCTCTAAAAAATCAAGAGATTTGGGCACTCAAAGGTAAGGCATACGTCTTTCTTAAATTTTTTAGATCTAGAAACCATGAACAAGTTAAAAAATAATTTTGGTTAATTAAATCAAATAATTGTTAAGTATTAAAATACCAACATTTAATTATCCGTGTGTGCTATGGCGATAGTATTTCCTATCAATGCTTCATTCTTGAATGGATTTCATCATCTTACTTTTAAATCTCAAAAAATATGAAAATACGTATCCGTTTCATGGCAGGTTATTTCCATTTCGTCTTTTACATTGCGAAATTTTCAGCATATCCTGACTGACCAGTTAGAATTTATTATTCCAATAGAAAAGCTGCCTTGAGCTACAATCTACGATGACTCAAAATATTAACCAAGAATTAATATTTAATATAATATCAGTTATCTGAAACTTACTTAACAACCATTGCGAAATTACATGGTGAATATTGAAAATGAAAGGTTTCTTCCAAAAACAAAATGCAATTTTATCGTCTCCCGTTGTGAAATTAATAGCTGTACGAATTCCCACGAGTGAATAATTCACACGTTTTTAGAGAAGAAAAATTAAAATCAAGAACGTTCGACACAGATGGACCAACTTTCTCCGTGATTAGCGACAATAGTTTTTAGCCGTGTGAAATTTCAGATTCCTAACAAGATCATTAGGAAAGATCCAACATAATTCGTGATCCGCTTTCGTTTGAGCATTTCATTCAGTTATTATAGATATAGACGGTATACATAATGTACAAGTGACCATAAAATTGTAAAGAGCTGTATTAAAGAAGTTAGCTGTGTTGCATGTCCGAGGTAAAGCAGGCATGGGATAGAATGAATCTAAGTAGCAGTTGATTCGAGGACAATGCCATGAGTAGAAAAGATTCGCTTTCATCAGTCGTTTTACTTTCCTCGGTCAATGCCATTTTTACTCGCGCTTCGTTTCTCGCTGTTAACTATCTTGACACAATTGCCCAAGAGGGCTAATAAATTCCGTACAAATTTACCAGAGATAGTATCTTCGAAAGTACTTATTTACTCGTCATTATGGGCAGAACAGTTTATTTTCAAAAATGAGGTAACACTAAATAAACTCCTTTTGCCAATAAATTAGCCGTTGCGATTGTTATAACAAAATTTCAAGCATAATTTCATCTGGAATTATAAGTCTTGTCAGACACTGGAATGACCATGACTTTTTGATATTTTATAAAAAAAAAAGCAAATCCTGATGCACCACTCACTATTCATTCTTTTGTTTACCTACAATGTAATCTTCATATGGTAGCTTCTACGCATAAATAATCCATTTAAAAATTCTACAGCTAATAGGATGTCATCTTGTTATGTTATGTTATACAAATGGTTTTCGAAATTGTGAAACTTTGGGGTTAGGTAAATTCCATAAACATGGCTCAAAGGCGTTGCTAGACATTCTTTGAAGACATTATATACGTAGGTAATAGGGGACTTTTAATAGTGATATTTTCGAACGGTCCCATTGCCTAAAGGGCCTTGGAGATTGGTTCATACTTGAAAATGGGACGTTCGAAAGGTATATAAATCACTGCATTTTTTAATATGAAAAATTTAATAAAAATATAAGGTTCTAATAAGTATATTAATAAAAAATTATTTTAATTATTTATTAGTCAATAGCATATACTTTATATTTCTTTTTTAAACTTATTTCCTATTACGTACACAGTACGAAATTATATGTTCATTAGGTGTGGTCTTGGGGCCCTTTTTGAGCCTAGTTTGAATTACGTAATCTGAGATATTTTCACTTCAAACTTTTTCTCTGTTCCTTGAATGATCCCACCACTCAATCGCAATTTCTACATTATGATACCATAGAAAGTTCTGAGAAATCCTATCAAGTCGTAATTCCATATGATACTCGTGGGTACATCTAATTGACGTAATTACAAATTCAATTCTGTAATTTTAATCAGAATGAGTAATAAGCATCGGTTACATCTCATTCGATAGGCTTTGTTATTGCGGGAGGTATCACATACATATAAAAGTCGTAATTCCAATTGCAGTAGTCAGTGTTTTCATCAAGTTTACCGGTAGAAAGTTCAATCAAAAAATATCAGTAGCAATACGACATAATAAAAAAAGGGGCAGATAATTTTTCAAAATACTCAATAATCGAGGAAGTTACAGGACAAAAAGAAAATTGAAATTTTTACGTGAATTATATTTACCATCTTCACCTGTATATCTTGTACGTTAAAATATATGCGAAATTTCATGCATCAATCCCAGTGACACACTAACCGTCTCTGCATACATTTATGGATTCCTGGGTGTGAAATTGCGGCGGCTAGAATATGAAATTTTCGAAATTTTACGCGAAAGCATTAAGCTGCCATACTTAGGTGCTAAATATGTGTAATAATAAGTTATACCGTTAAGCCATTTCGTGAACTGAATTCCAATTGGTATAATGTAATATGTACATACGTCCACAAAAAATATATATATAGTATCGTTCCTCTCACCATCCTAGAGCACCTTTTTATAGATTTTGTTACAGTCAGTCATGGTCAACGTGCATTAATGCCGGAGGCATGCCGGATATAATAAAAAAATATATAAAAAGATAAAAAAGATGGCCGTCACTTTCTGTCTCGACACAAAATCCATAACGTTCGGAAACACGAAGTAGAAAGTATATGCTAAGGCACCCGGCCCATTAATACAGTTACGCAACGAGTTGGTTTATCGATTAAATTTTTTTTTCCAAATTCAAAATAGTCCACGTAGTCGTTGTTAGTATCACAATGAAAATAATGAATGCACGTCTGTTTCATTGTAAACGTTCATTAGGTTTCTGAAGATTTGGCATTGTTTATTATTATAGAAATTTTTTTTTATTTGATCAAATAAAATACTTGGAATATTATGGTATCTTAGACACTTGTGGAATCTTATAACTGGCGGGGCGACTATAAGCCGTGACGATCGGACAAGACAAATAATCGTGTTACTGATCGGACAACGAGAGACGTAACATTTTACCAGCTGAGAGCGAACATTTTCAATTCGTAACAATTAGAAAAAGAGTTTAGACAGCCAATCGACGTTAAATACTTTCACTCGGCGTTATAGTACCGGTGCCGTACCGAAAGTTTGAGTTTGGCGTCGCTTTCGTATTTCTGGTGAGATGTGGACTCGTGGAAAATTATGAATATCATATTCTCATAAAGTTCATAGCCACGTTCTCGAGATGAAGTTCCTGTTAGCGTTGGGCGTTAAGAAATTTAAATAATTTTTTGAAAGCATTCTTTACTAGACAGTCAATATCCAGAAATGTTCAATGTATGGTGTGGTACGACATTGGTATTTTGAAAAAAAAAAAATATTGCACGATAACCACCTTTATTTTATACGTCACGCGGTATGAAATTCGTATTTTTTATTTTAATTCCTAATTTTGTTTTTCGATAGAAACTTCAAAAAATAATATATATCGAGACCTTGGAACGGTTCTAAAATTGTACTTAACACGAAAATCTAGGTTACTAATTATGCACATTCGGTAACCCGAAGGCTGCACAAGTCTGGCAAATGTAATTGCTCAAGGACGTTTCACTCAAGCTATGCGACTCTTAGAGATGACAAAGTGACAGTAATTATAAGTTTCTTGCAATACGAGATTTTCACCGTCCATACGAAAAGGTCAGCCCGTCCATAAGATTTCGATACAACATCGATTTTGTTCCTGCTACATATCGATTTGAAAAATGACCACGTCACAAAATATCGTTGTGAACAAAAATATGGTAAAAGAGAAAGGCTCTCTCCGTCCAAAACACTTTCCCTAAGAACACGTGCACCCGTCCACATGTAAACGTACGTTTAAACACCAACGTAAATACAACAACATCGTATCGAAAATGATGACACGTGTAATGGCCGTCAGAAAAAATTTTTTAAAAGTCCTCATTTTCGCGCCACGTTCAAAAAACGTGTATAGCGGTATCAAAAGTATAAGATTTGTATCAGCTTGTTGATAACTGTAAAATATTTTTGTCTTATCAAAAAAACTACATTGGTTGTCAATATAAAAATTATCGTGTCAATTAGATACGTAACGTGACATAATACTATTTCACTATTGTACTTTGTATACTATTTTGTTTTACACGTCATTCTCGCCAATTTACTAATCACCCTTTTGGCAAATAGTCTAGACGAGAACAAGTCCGTGAACCTAGACACGCGACATATCAACCTCGACAGTGAATATAACCATGTACGTCCGTTCTCACGTAAGCTTCTATGTAACTTGGTACGAGCTAACTTTATAAACCGGTTGCACGCATGTAAGATATTGCACAGGCCGATATAACACACGATAATTATAATGGCAAAGACTGCATACTATTCCTTCACTTTTTCTTTATATTCTTTCTTGCGACAGATAAGGCGATCTTGACCATATCAGGTTTACACTTGGCATACATATAAGATTATGTAATTAAAAAAAGTCACCGATAAATTCTTTCAAGTAATTCAACATTGTTATATTATACCTAGCTAATTATTTATTTTAACAGAATTACGTTAATATATATTTATATTTACTATAATGTATATTTATATTTACGTAGCTTTATAAGTAATACAAAAATGGACATATATCATTGAATACTTGTGTAACATATGTAAACTCGGATTTTAACTACGAATTGATGAGATGACAGTAGCAAAATAGTTATTGGCAGTTCTGCATTGTCATTCATTGTCACTTTGGTATTTTATTACACATTACCATTGATAGGTTAGATTTCGATCTTGACTACTCAATAAGGTGTAATATGCTAAAGCATAGGTGTACACATGCGCTTAGATCATATCGTCGACCTGTTGATTCGTTATGAAATAAAATTTGAATTCGTTTAATAAGTTATATATGAATTTTGATATATTGACAAAGATACGTAAGAAATACAAAAGCGTGGAAACTAGTAACTGGTCTGTATTACCTTATTGCTTTTTAAGTTAGATCGATGGGTGATGAAGCTGATAGAAGAATTGAATGGGAGAGATTATCTTGAGATGAGATAATCTTCAGATAATACACTAAGGTGATATTACGCTTCTTGACAGAAATTTCTAATCCTATCTAGGCCGCCTAATGTATCTTCCTAGTATATTAACGGATCGTGTCTCTCAGTTTAATATCTAAGAAATCATTGTTTTGACGTAACGTCACGATTACGACTATATAATGTGTACGTGTAGATCTCGGAAGCGGTGAACGTGTCTCGTCAGAGCTATTAGATAATATTACTAACTTCCCGAGTGGAGAAAGTCTTACCTCATTTCAAAGATGCATGCATTCAACTGACAAATTGTGGCGTTATTCACATATCTTATGTATAATGTATATGTGGATTTATTGCACGCGAGTAGCTATATTGTATATCATTAGCTGGATATATATGTATATATTCACTCAGTATACCTGTAATAAGGTATGATCTCGTTGAAAAATCTCATTAAAGAATTTCATGTCATTCGGCGGCAAAATGATGTTTTGTATGATTTCTTCAATTCTGCCAATAATCATTTTAATCATTGTAATCGACATGACAATTATAAGTCATACGTTCACATAGTAAATCGCGTGTGCGATTCTATCGAAATTAATATCTAGGGTCTGTGCCGCAGTCATTTTTCACGTATGGGAATTAACCTTAATTGCTAATCTATTCGACGCCTCCATAATATTTGTTAAGACGTAAACGCGGATACTGAGAGATGAGAGAAGGTAGGTCAGACGGTCGGCAGCACTGTCAATCTCCTATTATGGTGAATTTTTATGACAGCTGTGTTGTTATTATTATTCACGATGCTTTCGCTCTCGGATTATAATTTCTTAGCGGAAGTCGTAAGACCCGAACAAGGATACTCCCATTGTTTTACTTAATCAAGAGACTCTGGTGATGTCAAATTAATATTTATAGAAATAGAGGAACAAGTGGTGAAAGCGACAAATGATTTTCTTTCTTGTTTGTTCTCATTCTTTTTTATCCGGTTTATCCGTTTGATATACGTGGTGAATCTTGGTGTCCTGGGGAATTTCAATGAAATCGAAGCAGGAAAGCGTGTCGCCATTTTCTTTCGAATTTTTGGACATTTTTACCAAGTTGGTAAATTTTTGTTGATCTACTTTGTAAACTGTAAGGAAATAGATTTTCTATGCTTTTCTTCTCTATTCGTGATATGTCACTGCGTCTATAGATATTTTCTATTCCGTTGGTACCGCTATGCACGCATGCATTAACACGTGTTATCCCGTGACTTATTACGGCCGAGAAAATAGAAAGACATTCGGCCTGTTTGCATTCACACAAAGCGACCGTCGTCGTTCAATGAGCACTGGTCATCATCGAATGACCCACTTGTGCAGCAGGAAGACTTTCCCTGCGCTTCGAGCGGAGGACACTTCCGTTTCGAGTCTGACCAATCCGATTGTAATATACCTAGAGTTTATCGATAGTTACCAAAATAGTATGCAAATTTTTGGAAATTCTCTAAAAATCCTCATTCGCAAGATATTTTGACTCAAGTTTATGTACGTACACGTGTATGTATATTGACGATGTGAAATTTTACTAGCAGATATCGGAAGAGTCACGAAATAAAAATTGTAATTATTTATTATAAAAAAATTTTTTAACAAAATTAATTTTCTAAGCTAATTACTATGCTACCTTTAGTAAAAATGACCGTTGCCTATAGTGCTTTGTCAAATTTAATCAATCGTAAATTATTGAAAATTGACATCAATGCTACTTACTTTTATTTACCCGTTACAAACGTTGTAACTGATAATGACTTTTAACCTGGAAAAACTTTGGTTACGAATTAAATGAAATTTTTTCTTTCAGTCGATGACGCTTCGGGACGATTCACAAATGGCTTTTTATGGGGCAATTCTTATTTCACTGGATCTGCGACAGAATGCGCTTATATCAGTCGTGACTATTCGAAGAAGAATGAAAAGTACGTACCCACGTTTACAGAGGCTCGCCAATTTACAAGTGAACCAAAGAAAAAGGCAAACACTGGATTAAGTGGTGCGAGTCTACTGCCACCTAGCGTTTCGGATCGGCCGCCATTCGAACTTGGATTTTATATGATGAAAATCAAGATCAATGGCACAATAGCTCCTGTCGTAAGGATTGCGATAATTACGAAGGAATATATAGATATATCATAAATCAAATAACCTACAATTCTTCTTAGACAAGGACTATCCACCTGGGAGTGTGTCTGCCATTCTCTTGCACTGCGTCGGACGTCCATGTAATTGGCAGAGTGGCATCGAGCGAAAGCGCATCGCGACATTCGTCAATAGAGAGTGTACGCGATCAGCACAATCTATATGACATGTTTAGCGATCCAATATTCTGGATTTTATTGTAAGTAATCTTTGATTAATTAACACTAATTGAATTTTATTATTTAGAGTGGATTTAGCACGAGACTATTATATTTGTTACAGTGGCGTAAGTTCTGTGGTACTGATCTTAATGATAGGAGGTACCGGATACGATGTATATTTATCAAGAAAATTAGCTGAGAAATGGAGAAACTATGATTTGGAGAAGTCAGCTAAATTAGCGCAAGAATTAGCTAATGGGAATGGCAAGTCTTTGACTGGTAAGAATTATTTAAAAATTATTTAATTAATTCAATATCATCTTAATGGACACACAGAGCGGTCACATGTATTATATGTAAAATATATATTATTAATTGCGTATAACGAACTTATATTAGTTACCATATGCCCCATTCAGTAAATATTAACGAACAATTTAATTCTTCTCAATGACCATCAAAACTGACAGCCGTACGACGTGGACGGAAACTGAACAGTGACGTAGTATTATTATTATATTTCGCAGCTTTTCAAGGTAAGGTCTACCTTCCTGTTCCAGTATCAGATCCAGTTGTGAACGCATCCAATAGAGTGAACAACAATAACAATCACGAGGATAGTTTACCAACGCCAACTCCAGAGTTGAAAAAATTGAGTAAGTATTCTTAATCGCCAATAACTTCATATTAGAAGCTAATTTAATCCTTACTCTGATAACACTATTTCTTACGCTTAGGTATTCCAGAGGAATTGTTATTATCGTTTTCGATTCGCGCCAACATGAAAACAATTTGTGACAATTCCGTCGGCAATGATACCATAAGCACTGTACACGGGTTAAGAGCCATATCTATGGCGTGGGTAATTCTAGGACATACTTGCATAGTGGTTTTCAAGTATTCAGATAACATGGAGTACCGTAAGGTTGTCGAGAAGAGATTTCTGTTCCAAACCGTGACCAATGGAGCTTTCAGCGTCGACACGTTCTTCTTCATGGGTGGACTTCTCGTCAGCTTTCTCTATTTTCGAACAAACGCCAAGGGCGACCTCAATAAGCTGACTCAAGGTACTAAAGGATTCGTGGCGGGAAGTTTGAAATTCGTTGGCTTCCTGGCGTACAGATTCTGCCGACTCACTGCGCCCTATATGTTTGTACTGGGTGTCGTGGAAGTATCGATGAAATGGTTTCACGCTAATTCAGTTTTCGAACCTCCAACTGCTGATCATTACAACTGCCCAAATTATTGGTGGCGAAATTTACTCTACATCAATACGTTATTCCCCGTGGATCAAATGGTAAATGAATACGTTATACCCATAGCAAACAAAGTTTATGTACTGTAGTGCTATTGGCAGTACACGTGATTACTGGCATACTTGATTAATAATATTTCATACGATCTTTCGTTTATTACAGTGCATGCTATGGAGTTGGTACGTTGCTGACGATACCCAGTTTTACATAGTTGGAGCCATAATGCTAATAGTGGCTACCAGCCATTTCAAAATAGCTGCTTTCTCTCTGGTGACACTATTAATTAGCTCCTGGTTAACTACTGGTTATATAGCGTTGGTTAATAACCATATGCCAAGTTCGGATGACCCTCTGGCACTATTTGATAAGATATACGACAAACCATGGACGAGACTTGGTCCATATTTAATAGGAATGTCTGTAGGATATCTACTATACAGAACAAATTGTAAAATTAAGATGACGAAGGTATGTGCATATATATCATAAAATAACAATTTCTTAACACGTTATCAACGATACCTAACCAAACATTTTTTTTTGTTTCTAAAAAATTTAGGCTGCTGTCACTGTCGGTTGGATTTTATCCATAGCATGTTTATTAAGCTTACTTTATGGATTGTACGAAGCCGAATTGAGTCCTGCAGTCGCAGCTGCTTATTCGTCCTTGAGCCACAGTGCATGGGCATTAGGCTTATCATGGATAGTGATAGCATGTAGCACTGGATACGGAGGTAGAATATTCTGGGTGACTTTTAAATCATCCTTATGAAATATTAATTAAAATTTTTGTTTTTCTAGGATACGTTAATGACATATTATCAGCACCTATTTTATATCCCTTCAGTAGAGTCACTTATTGTGCCTATCTCGTGCATCCAATAGTAATCCGATTGACTGCCATGAATTTGGATTCACCATTTCATTTGGGAAAAGATACCATGGTGAGTATCGATACTACCTATCGAATAATTAATATAAAACTCAATTAATTGACAAGATATTAAATACTCATGTTATCAATTTATTCCTGCAGATGATCACGTTCCTTGGTCAAGTAGTACTTTCTTATGTCCTATCGTTCGTCATATCAGTATCCTTCGAAGCACCAGTAGTGAGCATGCTGAAGATTCTTGCGCCAAGGAGAAGGAAGAGGTTCCAATAATAATAATACGCGACAACGTAAAATCCTTCGATCAGTTGACGAGTACCCAACGTGTTTAATAAACAATTATTTATATAAAAAAAAAAATAATACTCCTCGTACTCGACTACATGTATCAGATGCCAGGGGAAGGGTAGTGAATTGTAAAATTGATATAGTCCACGTTACGTAATGCTTACCTGACTGTCATCACTATGACGTCAAGTTCATGTCTTTTCCTTGGTCTCGTTTGTCCACTTTGACACTTCATGATTGTTATCAAGTATCACCTCGACTAGTGTTTTTCCACGAAAAACTCTTGCATCTATATTTTTATCCTATTTGCTGTTCACTTTCTTCTTTTTTTTTTATACTCAATGCTAGCTGTCAAATAAATTATTTACTATTTCTACTGTATTCTATTTTATATCTAAATCCAACTTCTTATGATAACTTATTAGGCTGGATCCTCCATATTCTTATGTCTGTGGGAGACGTTAGGTTAATTGGAAAAAAAAAATATACACACACCATTGATCTAGTATGATAACATCATTTTATTATATTTAAATTGAAATCGGTTATAAATTATGGTGATGAGTTTGAATACTAGGACTAGGACAAATGGTTCTCGCTGCTTTGCTCTGTATACTTAATTGTTGTTTTTATGGTTGCTGTTGTTTCAATAATTCGATCGCGATTAATTTAATTAATTTCCTTTATCACCCCCTCCCACCCCCTTCCAGGCATCCCCTCGCTATTTCTACGCGCACACACATACAGGCATACACAGACTCGCGCGTACGTACTAGTAATTAAAAAAAGGAAATAATTAAAAGAATGCGTCCACGCGAGGGCGCGTTATTTTTTTTTTATTTTTTTTTTCTCATCACGCAAATCTCTGTTCGTACGTCAGCACAGTCACGTGGTCCGTTGGATTGTTTTTCATCATTGAAATTATGTAACCACTGACAGGCACGAGGGAAAACATACGTTTTCAGAAAAAAAAAATATGCTGGTAATACTAAGACTAATAATAATAATAATATTAATAATAAATAGTCCTTCCCCCTACTTTAAGGGAAAGGTCTTTGACACGTCGAGGGGAAAGGAGAGGGGAGAGAAACGAGAAAAACGAAAAGAAAAGAATGCATGAGAATCACAAGAAGTTGGCAGTGGTTGAAACTGAGTATATAACGATAAAATGACTTTTATTTCCTTGACGTTGCCAGCAACGTAGGAAAGTCATGGGAAAATTATGGTCGGTGTACGTAAATCAATTTTTTTCACCTATTTTCATTAACACCACGTGGGACAGTGTCACCGGAATTCTTTTTAGTATAATTGACGAGGAAAAAGCGAGGGAATTTTTTTTTTGAAAGGTGAAGAGAAATGAAAAAATTTTGAAAAAAAAAAAGAAAAAAACCAATCGGTGTGTATATCACGGTCGTACAAGCCCCCTGTCACTTTCTATCACAATTAGTAGCAATTAATAAATTACACAGCACAGCCAACGACCCACACAACAGATTTATTTATCGTATTGTATATGCATGATAATCATTAGAGGTCACAGAACACGGGCAACAATGCGTGTCCTGTAATGAACGCGCACGAGGAAGAACTCAGTTTACTCGAAAAGTTTAATGCATCCGTCACGTCAGGTTTACCTAGTACATATGGTATATGCGTATGAAAGAAAAAGAAGAAAAATCATGGTAATCGGTTTTGCTTTTATTCTTAATAACGCTTTATGGATCTATTTGCTTTCGTTTGTGACGTCACAGTGTATGCCTTATCAGTGATAACTAATATTTATTATCCCTTGTCACTTTCATATGCACCCACGCGCATTTACACTGTTCCTGTCTCGCCCTCTCGCCCTCTCTCTCTCTCTCTCTCTCTCTCCCCCTGTATTCACTTCATTCGCTCTTAGTCATTTATATTCGTGTTTCTTTCTCTCTTGCACTCGTACCAAAGATACGGTGATTCGATTAACGATTGAAAAAGAAAATTTGTTTTTCATGCTTTCAAGGTGGACAGGATGAAATCGATCGTTTTATCGAATTTACGTCAAATACTCTTTGTATGTACGATGAATTTATGATATCCGTACAAAAAGAGGACTCTGACTATGGTTAGTAGAAAACGATTATTTATTTAGTAGCAAAAACGTTTTTTTTTTTTAGGAAAAAAGTCATGATCGATAATGATTATCAAAATGAATTTTTGTTTGTTTACGCGAGTGGGGAAAATTAAAAGAATTTTGGAGAAAAGAAAATGTATAAGTTGGGTTTATATTGCACTGTGGGAATGTGATGATTTTTTTTTGTTATTTAATTCGGACAATTTATAAGATCCATATGGAATACGTTTGGTTTTTATTTGTATAATTAGTATTGTATGTGGAGTTTATTCATACTTTTTGTTTCTCTTTCGTTTATTAATGCATATGTTTTGTATGTACGTATGTATGTCTGTACGTGCATACGTTTTCATTGCTATTGGCTAATTGCATTCTTATTATTGATGGTTATCGATACTAAATAATTAATTGGATATTTCGATTGTGTAGCTTATGTTTTTCTCTCTCGCTTTCTGGATTATCGTTAAACATATCTTTTCATTTTTTTTCCCAAATATTATTTTCAACGCCCAACTCTTATCTCCCAAAGTTATTGAAACTTTCTTCGAACACTTTTTGGCATCCATTACTCTTTCTTGGTGTAGTCGCAACTGCATGTTAAATACCAAATTAATTGTTTTCGTGTTCAGTTAGTTACAATTGCAAAATCACGTAGCTGCAAAGTTTATATCTGCGCGTGAATTTAATTTTATAATTTCAAAAATTCTGAGTAACTCCTTTTTTCCTATCGATCTTTTTTATTTCTGATAACTTTTTTTTTCATTTCGACGACTTGCCACGATACTAGAGAGTCTCGGCACGTAAAAGGCACTGTCTTTTCTGACGATGGTAGATTTTCGAAAATTCCGAGACTCTCCTGCCTCTCTCCTTCGCCCCTTCTGGTTTCCAGTAAACACGAGCATAAACATATTACGCATTTCTCAGTGTCGTTTCAAATTATCATTTTCGACTGTATCCATGTTAATTATTTTTTTAAATCTTCCATTTTTGTGTGAAAATCACATTTTATATTTTACTTTACATAAACTAATCCAGTCTGTTGTTCATTTGTTGAGTCTATACAGTGCGTACAAAGATTTAATTCTTATTACTTGTTTAAAAAATTTGAATTTCCCGCCTACCTTTCGAATATTTATTAAGAGACTCGAGTATCTCGATGCATAAATATAGATATAAAAAATTTTGACAAAATTCCACCACGCGTAATTGCAAGCACCAGTTTTCATCCTGACGTAAACAGATGCAACCGAAAAGTGTTGTAGGATATTTCGAGAAATTTTATTTACTTATTTATTTCCCTATCAGTCTTTTAAGTTTTTTTTCTTTTTTCTTTCATTGGAATTTGAAAACAGCGATAAGGCATGTTAAGTGTATTTCAGTTGTTCCTTGAACTTTCCGTTCTCGCCTTCTAGTTTCCGTAGTAATTTTCTTTTGCTTCGGTCACATCTGTTTGCGCCATTAAGGACGAATAATAAACAAAAATTTTCTTACTCGTTACATCGAAGAGGTACAATCATTCTAATAAATAGTAACAATTTGCATACATCTTCTAAAAAATCAGCATCGAGAAAAGAAAAGGGAACTATATCGAAAGTCAAAAATTCACGAATAAAAGACATCGTTTTAAATATTAAAAAAAAAAAGCGATCAAGCGATCAATAGCGATCAGCTACAAGGAAGAGACCTTGCACTACTATTTTATGTTCAGTGTTGCCATTTTGTGACTTAAAAAATTTCACAATTTCACAAACGCGCCACACGTGCTTTTTCATACTCTTCTCACTTCTATCACACTCTCGAATTATTTAAGTAAAGAAGACAAGAAAAAGGTGAGAAGCCATACAAATCAATAATTATTATAATGTCGACACAGCCAAATCTTTGTTTAAACATTTGTTTCCCCATGTTGGCAGTTCCGATAAGATAAGTTAGTTCAATAATAGAGCGTGTTTACGTTTAACACTGTACCTCTTGTTTTCTCGTTACTTTTTCCCTTCGATCGTCCATGCTTTTTTTTTTCAATTTCTCCTCGCATTCGTTTTAATACTATACTCGCTCGACAACATTTTTACACCCAATTTCCTACTCTGTTTCTCTCATTCCCTCTTTATCTTTCATTCTCTCTCTCTCTCTCTCTCTCTCTCTCTCTCTCTCTCTCTCTCTCGTTCGCTCGCTCTTCTTACAGACGCACTTCTCGCATCCAAGAAGCGACATATTATATCCATTTGTTACTTTTATTGATTAACAAAACTCGAGTGACAGCTCACGATCATTTCCGGTCTACCGACGTAGAAACACAAGCGTTTGGTAAAGATACAGCATTTTCGTATTTCAACGAAATAAAATTGTCCCACGACAGAACAAAAATGAATATTTATAATTTACATCGTTTCACTCCTAGCGCTCGTATCAATTGTTAACTCAATAATCAATATATGGGAAATAATCGCGCAACTTCGTCACTTCCGCTCGTCCAGACGAGTCCTCCGCTTCCGTTCCTCCCCCCCCCCCCCTTT